AACTACTTGAAAAATAATAAATTGCGGAAAAATAGGTGCAACATTTATAGTAAGTTATAAAAGAAAGATTATTATATAATCATAAAAGATGTTATTTTGGAGTATATATTATATAGTTCTATAAGCTTTGAAGTGTTTTGAAAGATGCAAACAATAGTAGATATTATAGACAGAAAGCTATGCATATGTATAAATAGCTAGTGTATGTATAAATTAACATTAAGGTATAAAGCACAAAAAATAGCGACAAAAATTTAAGTTATCGGTCGATAAATCACTTTTCATTCCACTTTTTATGACTTACTATTTTGACGTTATCATGCTCTTTCCAAATTACAATAAGGTTAATTGGAATTGAATGTTATTGATCATGTTTTATTCATAACGTTTGTGTGTGTGTATGTGATATTTAAAAGTCAATTTGTGATAAATGTAATAAAGTTTTCAAATGGCGCTATTGTAAAATAACGATAAACAATTGCTTTGATGATTTATCACAATAGAATTAGTGTATTCTCGTCATACTGAATCACGAAATTATTTAGTTAAGGTGACTATATGCAAGTATACTTACACCATGACTATATGTGCGCGCAATATATTCTGTCTTTTTCTCTCAATCTCTCTTTTCGATTTGCGTGGTGTTCACTGCGATCTTTAACGTCAAGGTTTTCTTCCAACGCATACATCGAAACCTTGTGATTGCAATTCAATCGTAACATTGATCGTAAATAACAGATTTACGGTATATTTCGATTAGTCTAATTCTAATAGACCAACCATTATGTTGCCGATAAAAAAGTATTGCGATAAAAGTTGTTGTTAATTGAAAACACAAGAGATTTACAATTGACATCCATAAAAATATCCACATCTTATTTCTTTGTGAATGTAAAATGTATGTACTTTGTCAGTTGTCAAGCATCAGACAAAATTGTTTTTTTTCCTTATAAAATTTGGTCTTCGGTTTTGCTTTGTTCGACTTGTTGTTCTTGCCAATGGAATAATTCTGTCTCTATGTGCTACCATTAGAGAACAATGAAAATTTCTAACATAAATTTTTCCGCAGTCATAATAGTTGTACATTTCACATAAGTTTTATCATAACACAAAAAAATTATTATTCATTTTACGAAATATATATTTTAAAACTCTCTTGTATCTTCATAAAAGCACAAAAATAGTAATATCTGTAAACGAAAATCGAATTATTTGTAGAATTTACTATAACGATAGTCTGTACCAAAAGTCTTGATATTTAAAATATAATATATATATATGGACATCTTGAATTGACAACGTATGTGACATTCTGTGAGACAATTATTTTTTATTTAATACTCAAAGTCTTGTTAGCTGAGTTAGCGCGAAAAACATTATTGTGTTGAAGTTATTCTGTTAAACATTATTAATATTAATACTGTAACGCTTATTAAAAATCTATTTCATACTTAAATTTATTTTATTATAATCTCTGCATATTTACAATTTCAAAAACTTTTGTGTGGTGTTTACTAAAATTTTCTAAAACGTCATTCAAAATTATTAACTTTTTATAGTAACTTGAAAAGTTCTTAATATTACATACGCAACTATGTAGTTTTCATATGTATTTTCTAGAAAATGTGTACATTTTTATTATCCAACTCTTCTCTCGTATCATAATTTAATTTTCTCTTTTAATATCGGAATTAACGGTGAATAAAGAGAAACGATTGTCAATAACGAGCTATTCTACGAAAGGACAGGAAGAGGAAAGACTTCGCGGCGCCTTCGTTTCTAATGTCGTACGCCGAAGAACCTGTATATAATACGATATTTATCATCCCCGCATCATTACGTGAAACTGCTTATTCTCATAACAAAGTACAATGTCTTCTCTTTCTTCTCTCGAAGCGTTTGTATTCTGTGCCGTTTTCTCGATACGGCATTTTCTGAATGCCTGGCAGGCATTCCAGAATTAACGTCTATGATTATTGAAATACTATTTGTACAATTTTTATTATAATTATTAAGGCATTTCACAGAACGTTTAGTACTTTATAATCTTGCTCGTCTACTTTGTTTTTATTAATCATACAGAACAAGCCGTATAATTTTAGGAAATTGTCATTAATTGATATTATCATTCATCATATAATTATTATATATATATATATATATATATAAATTATTTTTATTAATTTATATTATCCGCAATAATATACTAAAAATGCTGCTAATTATTAAAAAATAGAATATCTCCGGTATACAACGGCTCCCGCCGATTGTAGTAGTTGATGAATATCAGTCTGCTTCTGGATGATTGTTGGAAAATGATATAAGCAGTGAATTGCCGTGGTTGTCTTCAATGACTATCTCCACATAGGAGATTGGACCGACACTTATTCCAATTTCAATGTATTTGTACGCTGCTAAAACCTGTTATTAACATTTTGTATATATATCAAATATAAATTTTAATAAGTTATAAAAGCTAGCTAGCCTATTTTGATATAAGATGCAGCCATTTTCTCTGTAGTACAAACTGACGCATGCGCCTTTGGAAATTTATCTCTTCGAAAAAAGTGGTGTGTCGTAACTGGTATAGCTAGACTGTGATATGAGTTTGTGTTCCGTCGGAAGCAGCTTTATCTCCCGCTGCTCATACTTCGTTTTCTTGTCTCTATGTCTATGGTTTAAGATTATATAAATTTCTTTTTTTTTATTAAACATATGTTTTTTTCTCTTAAATGTTAAGTTTATTAATATTTTATATCTTACTCTAATGATAACAAAATAAAATTATTTTGAACATTATATATGTAGGAAATATCACTTGTGCAGTTTATGTCATGCATGGTTGACGTTTTTTTGTTTCTAAACTTCTCTTCAAATATCTCTTTAAATAATATCAAGTACCATAAATGATTAGCACTTTTTTTCAAGATAGATTAACTAATTTGTGTTTTCTTGTCAGGTATAAAAGTTTATAAAACTTGTACATAAACTCTCGTTTTTAAATGCGCAGGGATTTAATTCTAAGCAATTTAATTTGCGAAAAGACTTGAGATGTTCAAAAAATACAAAACAAATATGGCTGCGTTCGGGGAGCGCGCTATCAGCGCTGTTGCATCATTCTATCTTTATAGCTCATTAGATGTAAAACAAAGATAGAATGACGCGATAGCGCTGATAGCGTGTTCCCTAAACACAGCCTGTATGTTACTTTGAAGAATATTAACTAGTATCGACGGTTTTAGAGTAGTTTTACAGAGATTTACTCTATAAGCACACAATATTCTAGAATATTCTATGAATATTAATAGTACGTTTAATATTCCAAAAATGTGCTCAGAATATTACTTGATATGAAATAATATTATGCGCTTATAGGGTAATTGGATGACTCTTTCTTTAAAATATCGCTAAAATAAGGGAAAGCTCAGTATGACATTGATTACCAATAATTTTGTGACGCGCAAATCGTAGTGAAATATTTCCATCGCGTTCTGATCTTTCGCAGCTTCTTTAATTAGAGAGCGCATTGTAATCCGCAAGCTTCGTACGGAAGTCTATGCAAGTTGGATGCTTTATCCAATAAATCGACCTACATTTATACAATCCGCTTTATCAATCAATCGACTGATTAACTGAGAATTGACCAGTTATTGAGCGATTTCTGCGTTTATACCGTACGCAACGGAATCTTGCGCATCGATTTTACACACCTTCGTTTAATATATGCATTTCATGCCGCTATCAATTAAAACACTTATATAATACAAAAACATAATGTTTAAAAAAGTATAAATTCTCTAAGTGCCATAACTAGAAGTTTTGTTTTTTATGTACGTTTGAACATAACGTACGTACCGACAAGTCATTCGTGAACATAGCTACGTAGTTGCTAATATGCACCACCTATGGACATTGCGCTGGCTTACAGGGAGAAAAGGCGATTAGACATTCTCTTATATGGGCCTGGCCGCTCTCAGTTTTCTCTCTGACTTTAGTCACGTGTCCTTAAAAACGTGACTAAAGTAACGTCGCGTGACAGGGAGGCATATATATAAAGAGCCGTCTACAATGGAGAGTTGTAGGCCGTAATAGTAAGAAATTGACCAATCACAGACGAAGTAAAGAAGAATAATCGATTGTGATTTGTCAATTTCTTACTGTTACGGCCTACAACTCTCCATTGTAGACGGCTCTTAACACTAATATATCGCTAATAATAGTCGCGTATCTTCGCAATGAGAGGCACGAGGCCCGAGAAAGAGAGAAGTATAGTAAAGAAGAGACGCACGAAGTCCAAATATGAGCATAGATAGTCGAGCGTCATTATGCGCAGGTGCGTCTACTAAGCGAGTGCGAGCGAGACAAAGCATTGGAAAGTGAGACAGAAAGAACGCGAGAAAGAGAAGTGCCCAAGCGCACTTTGACTATGAGTACGGTCAACGTCTCACTGCAAATGTTTCCAAGTATCATTCTATCTTTATTCTACATTTAACGAGAAATAAAGATAGAACAATGCTTCAAAACATTTGCAGTGAAGCTTTGACCGCACTCTATGGCTGCGTTCCGAGTTACGCATATGCGCGCATTTATCTATATTATATGTGACGTGTACTATAGATAAATGCGTAACTCGGAACGCAGCCTATATAATATATGGACTGCTAGACTGCGTTCTGTTTCACGCATATGCGCGCATGTATCTATAGTACACGTCACGTATAGTATAGATAAATGCGCGCATATGCGTGAAACGGAACGCAGCTATTCTCATACGGCCATGGCCGCTCTCATTGGGTGCGTTCAGACAACTCAACAGGTTGAGAGATCATTACTTATGATAGGACTATTCTTCAATATCTGGTATGGTTCCAAAAGTATGATCCAATCAGAAGTGATTAACTCTCAACCGTTGTGCAACTGTTGAGTTGTCTGAACGCACCCATTCTTCTCTCTGCTATGCGCAGTAAAATTCTCTTCTCAAATTGAACGCAGTATTTTTGCATATGGCCCTGGCCGCTCTCAGTTTTCTCTTTGGTGAAGGTCTTTATCAGAACGCAGTCTGAAAATCGTTCTAGATCGAGATTGTCAAGAGCCATCAACTGTTATTGAGAAAGAAATTTAGAGGAGACATAAACGAGAACAAGAGTCAGAGAGAGAAGCCTCCGTTTGGCTTTTGAAGAAAGACGATATCCTTAAATAATTAATTGATTGCAGGTGACTTTGGGATTCAGAAAGGTGATTTTGTGTTTAATTTATTATTAAGTCCAGCTGAACATCAAAAAACGAAGGCGTTTTGCTCACGCATTTGACCGCGCAATTAATATCTCAAGATTAAATCGGAGAATATTACTTAACAAGACTTAACAAAATTTATAATAATCCACATAAATGATAGTAATTTAAAAATAACGGTTATTGATAGCTTTAATAAATTGTAATATATGATTTGTAGTGCGGCAAAAAAAGATATTGTCATGATGTCCAAAACGTTTTTTTATAGAAATTATCAGAAAAATTAATCTGTATTGAACAGAATCTCAAAAATGACAAATCGGCCAGATCGGGTCTGTGAAATCCACGCGACTGTAAGATCGAATATCTCTGCGAAAATTCAATAGTTTTTCTCTTTTTTTTTTTTGTTTTGAATCAAAAGTTTGAACGATTTTGCGTTGATCAAAAAAAAGAACCAGTGAAAAACTTTTTAGTAGGTTTGAAGATATAAGCGTTTAAAAAAACAAAGTTTTTTTAAAGGAGGTGTTTAGATGGCCAATAAGAGATTAAACACAGGTAGTGGTAGGTACTCCTAGTAACAGCTTAACTGTCATACGATCAAGATTCTAAGAAACACATGAAAGTCATTTGACAATGTAACTTTGTTGTAATTATTGAAATTTCTATCTGAAGATGATCCAATGCTAGGATCGAAACGTTATTTTCACAAGGAATAAAATTCCATAAAAGAAAAATTTCGTTCACACATTACTACCTGTGTTTAAGCTCTTATTGGCCATCTAAACACCTCCTTTATGATTATTTAGAGCTTTTCTACGCTTTTTTGAAAGTTTTTTTAGTAACGTCAACGCGAAATTTTTGAGTCAGTCTAGAAGATCTATGTGTTTTTGAAGAGTTAACTAGTATTTTAATTTTATTTTTATATAAATTTCAGTATATACACACACATAAAAAAGAGTCAATTGGATCTTAGAATCTATCTCAATGTATGATGTTAATTTTAATAAACCTATAAAATCTTTTTTTATAGATGCCAAACATAAAGTTACAAAGTTCTGATGGTGAAGTATTTGATGTAGATGTTGAAATAGCAAAATGTTCAGTTACCATAAAGACTATGCTTGAGGATCTTGGTATGGATGAAGATGAGGAAGAGGTTGTACCACTACCAAATGTTAATTCTGCTATACTTCGTAAGGTCATTCAGTGGGCAACATACCACAAGGATGATCCTCCTCCACCAGAGGATGATGAAAATAAAGAGAAACGTACTGATGATATTAGTTCCTGGGATGCAGACTTCTTGAAGGTAAATATCTTGGTCAATTTTAAATATAAACAAAATAAGATTCTAGTAGATATATAAGGAACATTAAATTTTTAGAAATTTGTATTTGTTGATATATTTACTTTTGTTTATATAGGTAGATCAAGGAACTCTCTTTGAATTGATTTTGGCAGCTAACTACTTAGATATCAAAGGGCTTTTGGATGTCACGTGCAAAACTGTTGCTAATATGATTAAAGGAAAAACACCGGAAGAAATACGAAAAACATTTAATATAAAAAATGACTTTACTGCGTCAGAAGAGGAGCAAGTGCGCAAGGAAAACGAATGGTGTGAGGAGAAGTAAATAGGATTGCAAGTTTTCCTATTGGTCATGCAAATCACTTAAATATTAATTCATCATTGATTTAGAGATCTTGAATCTATGCTATTACTTTAATAAAAAATTTATCCATAGACAATGCAGAATATAGATTTTGGAAAGAATAATAAAGTATCCATATGACTAAGATAAAATCAAATATATACATGTGTAAACAAGTTATGTATACCTTTCACAAGTCTTATGTTATTTAATCATCTAAAAATAAAAAAATTTTAATTATAATCTTATTGAACGTACGTGCTTTTCTCCTTAAATCTTAACAATAGAAGAATTTTTAATATAAATATGTAAATCATATTGATGCACGAATTTTAAGACAATGTTATGATATAAAAAAGGACATGAAAAGTTTATGTATAAATTTAGTTAGAAGAGTCATTGTGTACACAAATTAATAATATAAAATAAAAACAAATCATGTAAGGAATTACTTTGAGGATGCTTTGTACATTATTTCTTTATGAAAATATAACTTCTTTAAAAAAAAGTTTGTTTTTGTTTAATGTGTTGTTACCATCAGCTATTCTGAGAGCTTACAGAAAATACATAACCTGAAACAGAAGTATATAAAATTGTCTTATTGAAGGTTGATTGTACGTTAAACAACATCTAAAAAAAACGAAAGTGAATTAGATACTTAAAATCTTTTCATTCTATTTGTATTTAAAAAATCAAATTCTAGAATTGCACAGTATTTATCATGAGCCATGCAAGTGAGTATATATGTGAAAATATCTAACCCCAAAACATACAACACAATAAATTAAATATTTATGTTATAATAAAAATATATACACAAAGTTGTAAATAAATATAACGTATATTTGGTTTTCTTTGTTTTTTTAGTTAATAGTTGCACAAAAAAACTAAAGACTTATGACAATAAACAGGATGGTTTACAAGTGTTAACAAAAATATGTAATTGGTTTAATCTTAACAAATCAGCTATAGAATATCACGATATAGAAGAAATTAAGATTATAAAATATGATGAATTGCAAACAGCAAAAAAAACAGTTTCCAATCATTTGAAATGTATAAAATATTCTGAATTTATTGGCATTAATACTGATATCTCGGAATATTGTGTACCTTCTTTAATACTTGGGTAAGAAATAAATGTAATTTAATGAAAAGATGGAATTGTTAGAGTTTTGGAAAATTATTGTTATAAATATTGATACTATATTGTTCTTTTTGATAGAATTCTCGATAGTGGACATGCATTTTTTAATGTGCCAACAGATCAATTGACATCTAAAATTATGTTAATCAATTTACATGTAAAATATATTTTTACAAAACATGTAACGTCTAACAAAGAAGTGATATGTCATTTTGACATTCATGGACATTCTATATATCTGGTACAATTAATAAATGTTGACAAAACTATTGTTAGTAATAGAAGATGGTTTTATTATGCATATGCAATTACAACTTCAGGATCAACTGGAACACCAAAAGTTGTTAAAGTTCTTCATCCCTGTATATTGCCTAATATTACAGATTTAAAGAAAATTTTAAATGTTACAAAGTCTGATAAAATTGCTCAATTAACAAGTTTTACTTTCGATCCTAGTATTGTTGAAATTTTCTTAAGTCTTTCTTGTGCTGCAACTCTTTTCATGGTTTCTAAAGTATTAAAACATGACCATAAGAGGTAAATAAGCATGAACAAAGTCAATTTTAAAAACTGAATGCTGAAAAAATAAGGAAGAATTTATTATATAAAAGTAATAATAGTAACTGTTTCTTAGGCTTTTAGAAGAAATATATCATGCTCATGTAACGGTTCTTCAAATTACACCATCGCTTTTCTTTCATAAATGGTCTACTGAATGTTTGAAAACAACAATTTTGGGCAAAGAATCGCATCTACGAATTCTGCTTTTGGGTGGAGAACCATTCCCTAGCAGAAAATTATTCTTAAAAGCTAGCCATCCACAAAATATGACACGATTATTTAATATTTATGGTATAACCGAGATATCTTGTTGGTCTAGTATTAGTGAAATTGCAAAAGATGCTCAAGTAGATGAGTCTTGTTTAGGTAAAATTTTATCAGAAACTATATTTGAAATCAGAAATGAGGATAACAAAATAACCACTGATGAAGGCATTCTTTACATTGGTGAGTATTTAATAAAGTTTAATTTTAAGGTAGTCTTTATGGACAGTATACTTACAAACATATACAGAGTCTCATTTTAATTTAGACAAAATATCTTGAAAACAATGTATTTTTGAAAAAATTTTGAAGAAGGCTAGCCCTTACGAAAAAGAATTACTGGCAGTAATATATTGCGGCAGTGGTACGAAATAATTACTGGCATTCTGTGTAATTGCCAGTAATATTCTCAGTGATTCCTGTAATACCTAATAATATTCTTGTGTGATTGTCAGTAATATTTATATTACTGACTTTATTTATATGTAATCGGCAATAGTTCTTTTTCGTAAGGGCACACACGCGCGCGTGCGTATAAAATAATTTATATCTGTTATATCAGTTTTGTTTTTATTTTTGACATATAGGAAGCTGTAGCAGAGTTTGTATCATTGGAAATGAAACTGAGAACGACTTAAATAAACCAGTTTTTCGTAATACTGGCGATGTCGTTTCAGTAAGCAAGTTTTATTAGTAGCGAATAATTTTTTTGACAGCATTTTATGAACTAATTAATTTTTCTAAAATTGACAATAATTTAAAAAATTTTTAATATATATCTTTTCTCTGTTTTAGAGAGACAATCAGGGCAGAATATTTTATAAAGGAAGGCAAAACAATATTATAAAGAGATTTGGAAACAAAGTAAATTTACGAGAACTTGAAAAAGCCGCAATGGAATTGAATTTTGTATGCAATTGTGCTGCACTCTGGGATACAGAAAAGCACAAATTATATCTATGTTTATCTACTATAAAAAATAAAGAAGAATTCTTTATATTGAGAAATGATGCAATATTGCATTTGAGGATGTTGCCAGCGATTTATAAGCCTGATAAAATAATTTTAGTGAACTATTTTAAATATACCACTAACGGTAAAATTTGTCTCGCGTCTCTAAACGAATTATGTAGAAAATCCGAAACAGAAAATATTAATTACTCTTATGATAATGCGAGTAAAATATTTGAAAATTTATGGAATCAGCATATTAACTGTAAAAATGCTGGCTTTTTAATTTCTGGTGGTACATCCATAGAAGCACTCCAAATCTCGAACACCGCTGCTGAAGCCTTTAACGTAGAACTTCCTGAAATGATTGGTATGTTGCTGAAAAATGCTACGTTTAACGAATGTACTAATTATATTCGAAACATTTTAATCAACCGAGATTGTCGCAAAAACGATAGCATCAATATTGGTGACAATTCTACAACAATATTTTCTATAGAAAAATCATCTTTATTACAACAATCATTATCAAGTAATGTATTAGTATCTTTAAATAAACCTGAAACTTATTGGTGGTATAAGTGCAGAGGAAAAGTGTATAACACACATAATGCATTAATAAATAGTCAAAGTATAGAATCGCATTTAAAAAGTATATCAAATATAAAAATAGTAGCAACTTATAATTTGCAAAAATGCGTCGATGCTTCACCAACTGTATATTGTACTTTTAGGTAAGGAATCTGTAAAAAAAATGCATATTTTATCTCTACGTGTGTGTGTCTATATATGTAAATATAAGTTGTGTGTGTGTGTGTATAAATATATATATTCTTAATTTGTTTTAGGAAAGAATTATATGTAACAGTAGGTTCACATTCTGGTATTATATGTACTGTTAATTTGCTAGAAACTCATAAATTATACGAAGTAAAGCTACCGAATCGAATAGAAGCATCTGTTTTAGTTTTATCCGACTTTCGCGGCATTGTAGGTAAGTCTTACAGAAAAATATAATGGAAAACAAATGATATAATACTATAATACTTTTCATTGACAGGCTGTTATGATGGATATATTTACTGTATTCATCTGAAAACTGGTGAAATAATTTGGAAATTTCAAACGCGAGACATGGTTAAATGCACAGCAATAACGTGTACACAAGAAAGTAAAATATTTGTAGGTTCCTATGATCATCATGTATATTGTCTTTCGATTAAGGTACTAATTCAATTATTGATTAACGTAAATTGTAAAGTAAATATATAAAACTTCTGTATTCTTCGTCGTGAAATGTTATAATAGTAGGGAAATGGCCAATTCGAGATGGCCACCAGATCTTTGGGTCAATAAACTTCTTTATTTTGGAATATTTTTGAAACGTTTTGATCCTTAATTTGGGTCTTCTTCAGTGTAAGGAAGATTCGCAGGTATAGGAAGAACTTAGTCCATCAGTCGCGCATCGCCGTCAAACAACACGCGAAATAAAAGATGATAACGACCCGAAAAAACAAACCGAATCATCAACTAGCGCGACGGCTACCTGCGAACTTTCCTTACACTGAAGAAGACCCAAATTAAGGGTCGAAATATTTGTTCAAAAATATTCCAAAATAAAAAAGTTTATTGACCCGAAAATCTGATTATTGCCTTGAATTGGCCACTTCCCTACTATTAAAATATATATAATAAATGAGTTGTTTTTATAAAAATACATATTTTTATCGCGTATAGGATGGTATTCAAATATGGAAAACTAAAGCAAGTGAAGGTGGAATCTGTGCTACCGGTTGTTTACACCAACATTCTGCATCTGTTATTTTTGGAACTTTGGACGGCTCATGCTTAGCTTTGCAACAGTTATCCGGACAAATTACATGGAAACGTAAATTGCAAGATCCGATTTTTGTTGCGCCTGCTGTTCTCCAAACTGGACATGTCTTATTTTGTTCTGTCTCAGGAACGTTGCATTGTTTTGATATTGAAACTGATTGTCAGGTATGTAACTAAACTTTTTTTGTTGCTTTTTTATGTTGTATCAACCTTTTGTATTGCAGATGTGGCAATATGTGATACATGGAAATGTGTTTTCGTATCCTGTGATACAGACTTGCAAGTCTAGAAATAACGAGTATCTCATTTTGGCTAGCCAAAATAAGACTCTGTATTGTTTGGAAATGCCGTGCAGTAGGATTGAACAAAACAAGCCGAAATTGAGATACATGTTACAACTCTGTTCACCAGTCTTCGCTACTCCTTGGTGTGATGATAAATATATCTTCCTAATATGTATAAATGGCGCCATTGAGGTGTACGATATTTCAGAAGGCAGATTATTAGTGAGCGTGAAACTCCCTAAAGAAACTTTTTCCTCACCGGTTGTCCATAATGATTTGGCTGTATTAGGATGCAGAGATAACAATCTTTATATTCTGAAACTTAGTTAATGTGAATATAAACGTTTTCATATATGACCGGCCTTTGAATATTTAAGTTTTTTAAATTTAAATTATTGCGAAACCATAATCGAAACAGCAAAGACATTACAATTAATACAATATCATTTATTCCATTCTGTTTTTTGTGTGTGTATGTATGTTTTACAAGTGACGGATATATAATATAAAGAATATCTATTATATATAGTTGAGACAAATGTCCGTTATTTAAATATACTTGTTTTTCACTCAATTTTTTATGTAATACAATAAAATTGCGTGCATCTATTATAATCAATTCACGCCGGAAAAAAATTAATATAAATGCAAAAAATAATATAAATTTTGGAATAAGTTTATATATATAACTCGTGCGCGTGCACGTTAAAAGTCATTCTTCCTTCATACTTCTATAACAAGGATAGAACAAACTCTCTGGAGATCATATCTCACATTACTTTATCTTATTGAAAAATAGAAACACTTTTAGCATGGAAGTGAACAACACAAACTCAACCTAGAAAAATAAATCTTGTTCAATACAAATATGTGACCGTATTACATAATTAATTAGCTGATCAATGTACGCATATATTTCACCTACGTCTTCTCCTTATCAAATAACATGATGTAATAATAAGATACGTTCGCATATTTTTATTATGCAAAAGAAATAGTACGAATCTCAAGCTCACACAAAATAACAATATCTTAACGATCTTTTTTTTTTTTTTTTTTGTAATTATATAATATATATATACTATATATAGATCTATAATATGTATATCCATAATGAGAACTGCACTTGACTGTTCCAGATATCCTTATTACAACATGTCACTATTCGTATTCGTCTAGTGATCTTTTTTCCAAACCGTTCTACTGACTTTGTCTCAAGTGTGCATACGACTTATCTATTTCTAATTTTGTTTTACAGTGTTTGCTTAAAGATACCTAACTTTGCTAACCATAGTTATGATTTGTTTTCTCTGGGAATAAAAATTTCTTCGAAGATAAATAAATGCAAAAAGTAAAACACACAATTACATAATTATACATGTACACAAATATACATATCAAATAATCTATGAGTTATCTAGATGTTAAATCTAATTTTATTACATGATTGATAAGCACAAAGGAACAATTACCAATAAAACACCTTGAATCGCTCTTGTGATATACATATGTATAAAACTATATTATTATATTACTCATTTTTTTTCCTGATGATAAATGCAACTTAGATAACCTGAAGATAAAATTTATATAATAAATTCAAGTTTTCTCCCATTGACAGCAACTGACATTTTTTTAAGAACATTTTATTACTTAGTCTAAATAAATGATACATCAATTGATCATCAGAGGTTCACGATATATTGCACCTTATGTAATAGTGCAGTGATGTTTCGGTAATTTTTTTTTTATTTTTTATTTTTTTTATTTTTTTTTTTTTTGTACAATTTAATCTGCCGATGAACGTTTTGTTTGTATCTCGGTACATGAAAATATGATACACATATGTATACACACAATAATAAACATCTGGATTTTACTTTACTTGTCTCTTTTTTTTATATTGATTCTCATTTCAACCTATATCAGAGATTGAATTTTTGTGTATGTGCAAAATGTAAATTTATAAGTTATCTATAAATATAAATTTATAAGTTATCTTCCTTTATAATCCAAAGTTCACACAAAGTTCGTAGAAATAGAGTCCAAAAGTTTTTTTCTGTAAACGTAGAGAATTTACGTTCTTCAAAAGATTCGTAAAAATACTAGAATGAGAATAGAACAAGGTGAATAAAGAGACAGAGAAAGAGAATTTAGTTAGTACTTTACTTTGTCTTCTATCTTTATAGGAGAGAATTTATATGTAATTAGGCACAGGTCTCTGCTCGCAGCATGACTTTTCTTTCTGCTTTGAGACACTGTCGCGTACCGATCACGATCGGTAATCAAGTAATATTTCTTTTGTTTATTCGAATACGAGTTCACCGGACAAATATTTGGATTTCCCAGCAATATGATGTAGCAAATGCGTGCTTTTTATGATTATGGTTACTGATCCTCATCGCCGAGCTCGTGCTTGACTTTATTGAAATCGAATTCCTCGCCAGTGGCGCGCTTAAATATATCAAGCACATCCAAGCATGTAGTCTCGAAATGTGTGGTCGCGTCGTAGCTGGTAGATATGAATATTTGACTATTAAGACCGTCATCCACTGGCACCATGTAATCAGAGATGCTAACAAACTTTTGTCTGATTGGACCGAGCAGATCTAAACCGGGCTTAATCTCGGTTTCTGGATTCTTCGTCTCCACTGTAGTCGAAACCATGGCGATAAACCACCCTTTTGCCGCGACTTGATGAGTGTGCGACACGAGAGACACATAAATATCAGAATTACGGCCAACCTGAAAAAAAGCAAGATAAAAACTTCAATTAAAAACATAAAATAAACTTGGAAACTTTGTATTGTAAAACACGTACTATCAATTACCTGTTTCTGAGGAATAATAATTTGCGTAGATAATGCGTCAGCTGTGTTCGGAATCGGATGATCCATAAGACATATGCACCTTATCACCTGACCAACTTTTTTTACACGATCAGGTACATACGTAGGATCACAAAAAACTTGTTTGCATTGAGCCACTTCATCGCCGGAACGCACGCCGACTACCTGCATAAAATAACAATAATTATTTCTCCAATGTGAATGCACTTCACGAATTCAACTACAGCAGACATATCGCTTACCTTGCCGTCTTTTATGACGATTTCATCGATCGGTTTGTCCAACATGTAAGTGCCGCCGTAAATGGCGCTGAGTCGTGCAAATCCCTGAGGAAGTTCGCCCAAACCGTACATCGGATAGAGATATGGCGATTTCCCATACCGCGCTAAACTGTCACTATACAGTTTGATTCTTCTTATGGTTGTTATCGCGGTTTGATTTATATAGTCGTCGTCTCTGATAAACAACATTAAATTTACGCTTGTTTAAAATAACAAAAAGAAGTTTTTTTTTTTTTAAATTGTAATTCTCTCTGCACAGTGAATTATCATTTCATCTACAGAAGTGATCTTCATTATTACCTGTATAATGCTAACGCGTGTCCAGTGAAGTCTTGTGTGTTCTTGTCGAGATTGAATTTATTATAAAGCGCACTCATGCTATTATTGAAGGGATCAAAACCTTCCCACGTCTTTGGATCATCCTCCTGCATGTTTTGTACCCACATGAGGAAACTGCGAAACCGCCGCTTCTCGAACAGACCCATCAAATCACTAGACAGAGCTTCCTGCTGGTCAATCGGGACCTTGGAGATTTTACCTGATTTGTACACGTATGAACCTTCCACCGATTTGAACTCAAGATAACGCGTCACGCCCGTATGAATGAGCAGTTTGACAAGAAGACCATTGGCCATCAGAAACTTGGGAATTAAATCGACGTTCCAATCCCGACCACGGCCATAACTTTCGTCCGGCGCTGGAGCCTTGAATTTGCTAAATCATAACATTAGCATATGATAAATTAGCTCTACTTATTGCAAATTTCTACAGTTATTCTGTCTGTTGTTCTCTCTAGATTAAAATCTATAAAACTATAAATATATTAAAGAGTAAAGTTTTAATTAAAAGAAGTGTAATTAAATTGTACAGATTATTAAAAGATGTTAAAATGCCGTGCTTTTCGCTTATCTGAAACATATCATAACGAGAGAAAAATAAAAAAAACTATCATAAACAAAACACAATAACCGCCATCTTGAAAAAACACTTTAAAAAATTTTATTATGATTATTCCCGAAATTCTTCATGTTATAAAAAGTTTTTAAACAAAAAATGTAAGAAATTAGGTATTTTTTACAAAAAAAGGTTATAACTTTCATTCACGCCAAAAAAAGTTATAACCTTTATTTAACTCCAACTGTTTTCATGTTAGAACGCTGAATCCACTCTGTGTCCGCACACTGCGACGCGAAAGTTTCAGTTTTTACATGAGTTTACAACTTTCCACGCAAAGCGAGTTTTCAATCCAACCCTATGTGTCTAGGTTTTTAATAGTGGAGCCACCCATAAGGGAAAGAGCGGAACCCACTGTGTGTATATGTGTGCACGCGCGTGTGTATGCTGTGTGAGTTTGTGTCACTTTATTTCTTCTATTTCATCGTGTTCATCTACATATATTCGTCTATATTTACACATAGGTTTGGGTTGATACCTCGCTTTGCGTAGAAAGTTGTAAACCCACGTGGAACCTTGTTTTGCGTTGTAGTATAATGCTGAACGCAGTACAGCGTTCTAACATAAAAACGGTTGGAGTTACGTGAATGAAGATAATAACCTTTTTGTAAAAAACCAAATTTTATATATTTTTTGTTTGAAAACTGTTTTCATAACGTGAATAATTTCGAGATTAGAATAAAATTATTAAAAAATCCATTACACTCTACAATTTGCACTTTGGATGCTATAGACTCTCATCATCCGTACATTTGAGATATAATAATTTAAATGGGTACTGAATACCAATAATAGAGATCGGTAAAAACCTAAATTTCTCTGTATTTACTGCACCACGCGAAAAGTCCTTCTACAGAAGTAAAGAAAAAAACTATATAATCGTACGTTTTACCACAATTCCTATATGATTATATGTATAAGTTTACAAGGTACGAATGTTCTATAGTTATCCAGTTGTTTCTTGTAATCATACATTTATATCTCTTGTACTTGTCTCACACTTTTAGATGTATCATACAAAATCGTACATTCAATAAGTATGTTCGCATTGCATGCTCCAACATGCTTCTACTCGCTCTAACGCGCTCTAACAGCGAATTCAGTAGTCTGCACTAGTGTGTACCGAGTGACTTTTTTCATTGAAAAAAATCGCGTTAGAGCGAGTAGGAACATGTTAAGAGCATGCGACGCGAACAAACCTATTGTTTTGATTGTTTCTTTTTTTGTTTTTTTTTATTATGTAACAAATTTGAAAAATTTTACATAAGTTGTTACAAAGTAGGTTGCAAGTACATATTGATATTATATTCAGAAGCTTATAAATGAAACAACGGAATAGAGATTTTTTATTTGCATTTTAATGTGATGCTAATTCCAGTTATCCAGATTCATTAAATTTTCATTTGCAGTAGTGAAGTGTTAGACAAAAAGCCATCGCGTGTCATGATAATCAACGAGTGTTTCTCGCGTCTTTTCACGAAGCACGTAATTATGTGCAATCTTCGAAACGGTCAAAGTCTCTCGTTCCGCTTTCCACCTGTATATATTCGATGTATACACAGCTTTTCCTTCTAAAGACTTTCATCCCACAAGTTATGCGTATATGTGTGTGTGTGTGTGTATGTATGTAATATACAGTAGATTCAGTAATTTCGAGCGCATAGGACCGATTCTTCCTAAACTTTGAAATTACTTTTTTCCTCTTTTAGGTAACGACTAATTGCAAGAGACAAAAGATATGTTTCTTTTTCTCTTATGTTACACTCTTAAAATGAGAATAAGTGTATATTCTGCAAGTTGCTCAGTCACTCAAAAATATCGGAGAATCATCAATAACTACTGAAAACTACGGAAAACTACTGAATCGCCTATAAAGGAGAAGTCGAATTGTGAAACGTATGTGCGTATGCTCAAAATTATTGAAGTTCTAGTGTACATAGAATGTACAGGAGATATATCAAACGTTAGAAAAAAGATATCTGCGTTTTTTTAGATGACATAACGTACCTTTCAAGAGAATGCAATTGCTATTAAATGTAATGATAGCAATAGAAAAGTGAGAAGCAGAATATCTTCTATATCAACTTTTGATATTTGTATGGTTGTTTTTCACATAAATTATCGCACAATTAAACAAAAGAATTGGAAGCAAAATTGCAGTAAATAAAAAAAAGCGAAAATCAACTCGCAACATTATACTATCAAGAGTTTCTGTTTCTTGTCCTTTATTTGCCAACAGACGGTACCAAACTTTCCGCTATACTTTCGACTGACCGGTAGCAACGACCGGAATTGATAATTAATGTCGACCACTCACAGCCACACTTAATTTGCATTTTATGTGATATTTACAGTGGCTTGTCGGCAGAAGAGATCCTTATATTGCAGATATTTATACAACAGTCCAAAGTCCAACGTCCTTAAAACACTTTATTTTGTTTGATCGCCGAAATCAAAAGCAGCTTTTTTTCGATTCGCCAACAGAAGTACAGAGAATCGATACTGTATCGTACGCGACGCAGACTGTATGAGGAACATCTTTCTTTTTCTCGCTTGTGTTTCCTCAAAAATGTAATCAACTAATTTGTAAGTTTTGATCGCAAAAAAGAAGGAAATCAATATTCGCGAGACACACTGATCAAAAACAAATGTTCTAGGTACCTGTGTGGCTCAGAAAAGAGAAGCAAGAAATGAATATGTGTATATCTATCATGACATTAACGTGTTAGTATTATATTGCATCCTTGTCATATAATAAATATGTTGTGATTGGCTACTCGGATAAAGTTTTATAGAGAACTCTGTGAAGTTAATAAAATGTTTGTCGTAAAAAACTAACGCAGCCTGTAATACCATTGTTTGAAAAATATGACTATACTTGAGTCCTTTATGAGTATGTACGTTTGACGGATGTTCTCCGTTAAGAGAATAATTATAGCGATGAGAGAGAGAAGAGGGAAAGGGAGAGAGAGAGAGAGAGAGAGAGAGAGAGAGAGAGAGAGAGAGAGAGAGAGANGAGAGAGAGAGAGAGAGAGAGAGAGAGAGAGAGAGAGAGAGAGAGAGAAAAGAGAGAGAGAGAGAGACGAAGTGGAAGACGGAACAAAACGAGCACTCACGCGAAGAGATCCTCGAGGGGCGTGATGGAGGCCGATTCGCCACCGTAATACTTGTTGCGGTCGATGTGCAGCACTCGTTTGCCGCTGACGGAGAGCATACCCGAGAGGATGCACTCCTTAAGGCCAGTGCCGAGGACAATCGCGTCGTATTCTTCATTCATGGTTCACGTGTCGAAGTGAGCGAATCAAGAAACAATTAAACTCACGGATCTGACGGGCGACTTCAACACTTGGAATACAATATCGAACACTTTTCTTTATTTATCTATTTACTGCGGCGTCCTCTGTGAAACGTAGAGCGATTGAAAAAAACTAACTTTTGCTACGTATGAATGATACGTGACGGCACAAGACTACAAAACGCAACACACAGAAAACGCAGATTGTTCTCTTGCTTTGCTACTCTGTCGACGATGACGACAACGACGATAGCGACGGTAGCGACAACGACACTCACGAGCGGCAGCGATGACGTCCACTTTTCCCTAGATTGCGTCCTGTCGACACTATTTGTTAGGGCCACCGCACAACTTTTTCGTAACGCGTTACGTTAAGCTTATGTCACACTACTCATTAGGATTGAGATTAGATTGTAATTTGGCCAATCAGAGCGAAGATCACTAAACTTAAGATTGGTTTTCTTTCTTCTGATTGGTCAAATTTCAATCCAATCTCAATCCCAATCCGTAGTGTGACATAGGCTTTAGGCCATATCCTGTTTGACAGAGAAGTGCATCATATCGTGCCGCGTCAGGGGAAGTATTTCTCGGAAATTTCTCCTCTGGCTGTACCTCTGGGAGTACCACGTTTATGCTACATTGGGTGCGTTCAGACAACTCAACAGTTGCACAACGGTTGAGAGATAATCACTTATGATTGGATCATACTTTTGGAACCGTAGTAGGTTTTGAAGAATAGTCCTATCATAAGTGATGATCTCTCAACCGTTGAGTTTTCTGAATGTAACCATTAAGCCTGTTCTACATTGATCGCAAGCGCAAACGCAAGGAACAGGTCTGGTAGAATTGACTAATCGTATTGATCAAATCAATCAATGTAGAACGGGCTTTATGGCCGTGGCAGCTCTCAGGCTTCTGAACATAGCCAATATACAGGTATTGTAGCTAGATGGCGCCAATTTCGGAGTTACTCGCGAATGGACTTATTACGGCATGCCGAAGAGAACCAGTTGTCAGTACATGTACCGTGATAAGTTTGTATAGTTGTCAGATATATCGTATCAGCCGTATCGGTTGGATGTGCTGCGAATATTTTTGGACAATTCGGTGTTTTACACCACTTTCTTTATTATTATCTTTAATTTAAACAAATATACAACTCCGTGGCTTGGCGTCAGGAACCCAATCCATCGGTTTTAAACCTGTTATCAAAAAGACATAGAATGGCGTATGGACTAGCTTTATAGGTCCACTGAGCCAAAAGAGCACCAAACCTAGTTGTCAGATATATATTAAAAACGTCGTTTGACATCGTGGCCGCGTTTATCAGTCGCGGTAAATTACTCGCGATAACGCGCTTGCGACACGTCGCAAGGTGAGTTCGTCATGATGCGCGAAGTTTAAAAAATATCGACGAAAAAAGAGAAAAACGACGATTTCGCGACGCAACGACATCGTACGTATTCGATGTGTTCATTTGCTAATTCCACAGAGAAGATACCGTAGAATATATCAAGTTGAGTTTTGTGCTAGGTGTTTTACGCGCGTCACTCATCTTTGTCGTCTTCGTCGACTACAAGTTTCCTTATCGTACGATCCCCTCCGACGCAAAGGACATGTGAATGTTCCGACGTTTGATAAATTCGGAAGACGTCATTCGTTTTCAACAAGGCCACGTGGACCACGTCGGGAGCAAGGAAAAATGTGAGTTTTTTCGTTTTTTTCGATATATATTATATTATATTATATTATATATATATACTCTTCCACGTTACACGTCGCAAAGCGAGCGCGCGCTAATTTTTTTTTTTTTTTTTTTTCACCCTCTTCCTCGATGTTTTTCTTGGAAAAGTAAACTGCGTTGATTGCAGATTGCATCGTTCATTTTCGAATTCTATACGAAAATAAGGTAGTATGAAGCGGAAATAAGAATGTTGACAAAATTGCGATTTCGAAAAAACAATGAAGTAGATCGAAATGAAATTTATGAGCCATGAAAAGCAAGAAGTGTACGATTTACTGAGAATTATGTACGTAATGATCTTGATAATCATCTGGAAATGAAATTTGTTTCAACATAACTACGAGCACAATATGTGTGTGTGTAAAAGATCGTGACAATTGTGTAAGTAAATAAATTAAAGCTAGTATTGAGCTAGTTTGTTTCCTTATCATTATCTTTCCCTACGTGCAAAAGATATGTGAGCGCTCCGATGTATGATTTCTGATAATTTTGGAAGATCATCCGCTTTTAACAAGACCGTGGATCACATCACGGAAGCAAGAAAAAATTTAATTTGAATATATGCGCGTCCAAATTAATAGCGCGCATAAACCTAGTTACAATCAGATAATTTGTCTAAAAAGATGGAAACATAGAGTTGGATGAGTTTGACTTCGTAATGTCGTAAAGTAACGGTTACTTCGCCTGAATGCAACCGCGTAAAATTGCCTGCCGACTGTTAGCAAGAAGACATGTTTTTCACATAAATTGACTCGACCGGGATAATTCCACGTTTAAAAATCTCGATGTCTGCTTCTAATAAAAATATTCCTCAATTGTGAGTCACATTTTTATGAAAGATTTTGAAACAGTAATTAAACAAAATAAAATATTTATACACAAAACATTCCATATATAAATTGTTCTGTTCTAAATATATACATTAAGAATATTACTGAGTAATATTCTTCGTTATTATGTCGCTAAAGAATATCAACTTAATTTTACACTTTGCGACATTTGATAAAATTGTAATTTTTATCATTTCTCAATAAATATTTTGTCGATTTATTTTACGAAGCAAAATAATACACAAGACAACATTACAATATTTAAGCTAAAAAATTGACCCTGAATCGCGCACTTATCGGCGCTTGCTATTGGCAAAGTGATTTGTTGCATTTCAGCGGAATAAGCTGCATGATTGGCTCTTACGTTTAGAACCATAAAATCAACATCGAGCGTTGACAAGACAACTTAGCAATTGTGTTGCTGAACACGGCCATCGACGCAAGTTACTTTCCCTACGCGCAAACAAAATCGCAATATTTGAATCATATTAAACGTAAACATCCGCCATTGTGGTTATACCTATAGCACTAGACAAACACCAATAAAAAAAAACAAGATTTTCAAATGAGGCTACAATTTTATTAATTAGTTAAAACTTTCCTAAAATTGTTAATCTTATTAATAATTTCATAGTGGAATAGTTCTTCAAATGTCATATAATATAGTAGTATTCACTTTTATCACATTGTCAAATATGATGTAAAATGTCGCAAAAATTTACTTTATACATGGATGGTCAATTAAAATGAAATGTCACATTCTAAAGTAAAACAACTTGATAGATTGAAAATGTTCATGTCATGCTTTCGGTTTAGTTCGGAACTGAATATTAACTAAAAAGTTTGAATTTGATGAGTGCCCCTTCTATATGTATTAATATTTGATTCCTGTTGTTACTTCACCGAGAAAATAGTTTACTCTCTACTCTTACTGCCTTATCACCTTCATTGCTAATACATTGTTTTTCCAATACGATGAAAAAAATTGAAGATTTGTTATTCTATCAAGAAAATCAATAAAATCTGATATTTGGTACTTTTGCGGCGTGTTGTATTAACTTTCGAAGATGTTTTTTGGGTTTGAACCACGTTAGTGTCATTTTTATAGTGACGTTTCGTGAACAGTTTAGCTCAATTCATCAGGATTTCAAGAGCAGCCTGAGTATTAGGCTGAAATGTTCACAAGAGATGTCGGTATAAAAATGACAATAACGCCTGATTCAAACCCGAAAAACATCTTCAAATGTTAAACTCAATAAAAGTTTCGCTAATTTGATATTTGCTACAAATATGCTAGAATATTAGTATCTATCGTACAAAAAGTAAGATAATAATATGTTAAATATTTTATATTTTATTGATTATCAAATATTCTCGTTAATATATCATAGAAAATAATTTATAACCAACATCATTCGCAAAAACACATAGAGATCTTTACTGTAACTTAACGTGCAAAAAATTTTTATTCTTTACACAAACCTTTTTTCAACATCATCATGTATGCAGATGTATCAGCATGTCCGAAGACGATGCGCAGGAAGCAGCCAGAGAGGAAATCGAAAGACAGGGGTCTCTTTACGTGTTCCCGGGCGCGGGCCGCCCCAGCTATGCGACGTCGTCATCGTTAATAACGTCGACAATGCCTCTTCAACCGCTTCCATCGTCGTTCCACGGTGGTTTGGCGATCATCGCCAAGTCTTCGACCGTGATGAACGCTACAACGGCGAGCAACACAATGACGACAATGACGGCTACATCTATGAAGATCAGCAACAACGACGAAGACGAGGACGCTGTAGAAGAGGTCACTTCGCCAGCCAGAAAAAGAATTTTTCTGAAGACGCACGGGAGATCGGCCAGTCACGGTGGTGTCCTAGCGGATTACGGATGGCAGACTTACGGGTCATTTTTAGGCCCGTTGACAACAATGGGAAGCGCCTCAACCGCAGGACGACCGTCTGTGCTCAAGAAGCCAGGTCATCAGAGAGCCTTCAGTCAAGGTCAGGTGGCAGATGTGACGCAGAGCCAGTCGGCTGTAACGGGACATCATCGTGTCGGCTCCAGAACAGATTTTATCCTGCCACCGGGTCACCGAGAGGATGGCAGACCACCCACTGCCGGCAGAATGCCTTCTTTTCGCGGTCATTCTCGTCAGGCGTCCAGGTAAGAAGACGCTAAAAACCGCAAATTATTAGAATAATAAATGAAAATAACGTGTGTACATATGCACGCGCAGGATAGTCTGAAACAGTATAGACAAATAATCTAAAGTTAATATTAGTTATACATACAAATTTAAAAAAAAAAAATTTAGTTTTAGTTTTTTTATCTGAAGACGTGATATTTTACACATTGTAGGAAATATATGCACGTGTTTGTTGTATGTTTGTAGATCAGAATCCATCTATACGATAAGACGTAGCGTCGCTCCTCCTTGGTGGAGAAGACTGTGGGGTCATTGTTTCGGTCCAATGCCGGAGGAACCTCGTTTGAGAACAATAGTGCCGAATCATTTAATTTCACCAAAGATTCCGAAGAGTCAGCATCCCAACGGGAACAGAGTAGACAACAGGTGAGAGTGATGCGGAAACAATACAATGATCGATCGTTTTTATATATGATTTTTCGTTTTTCTTAAGGGTGCGTACAACTAAGTACACGGCACTGAGCTTTCTACCTCGCAATTTGCTAGAGCAGTTTCACCGTGTGGCCAATTTGTATTTTATTTTTATCGTGCTACTTAATTGGGTACCGGCGATCAATGCCTTTGGCAAGGAAGTCGCCATGATCCCGGTGGTGTTTGTGTTGGGCGTTACGGCGCTTAAGGATTTCTTCGAAGATCGCCGCCGTCTTGCCAGTGACCGGCGTGTGAATAACTCCACTTGCCGCGTGTACGTTAGGTAAGCCGACAAACAGATACAATATCGTGGCTATCGTGATACGTGTAGTGTAATATAAAAATAGTTTAAATGCGACTGTCTGTCTCTCCCTTCTTTGTTGTGAAGAAAAGCACGTAGATAACTCAAAATTTACAATTATTATAGAAAGAAATTAATATACTTATATATCATATTACAATCCAATCGAAAACAATAAAATGCAGTGTTCAGTAAAAAAATAAGTACGTATGTTTAATGGACGTGTGGAAAGCTTGAAAAGATTAAGATATTACTAAAAGCATAAAATCATCATAATTGTTAGATTTTTACGAATATTTATAATACTAATATTTAAATATGAAAGAGAGAGAGAGAGAATAAATAAAATAATTTTTAAAATTTTCTTCTTCATAATAACTTATAATTGTTATAGTTTATGTAAGAAATTTATATATAAAGAATTTGAACGATTTAATTTTTCACTTAGCCTTGCTCGCTTATCCTTGTCGCCGCTTCGAGTTAAAATCCTTATGACAGAATAGAATCCGATAGATCGATTCTAATAAAATCGACCACTCCAGATATGTGGGTCATGTACACGCGAATGCGAGCAAACTTGCGTGTGTGCGATCGTATATGGAAAAGAAAGTACTGCCGTATCATTCTTTTATCGCAAGAATATTCTACGTCATACGCAACGAATGCGCAACGTACAACATCGGCATTCTAATTCGTTTGTGTCATATTAGATGTTTGCGTTCAACATTGATTCTAATTGACATGGTGAACATACGTATATATATACGTCGCTTATTTTACTGATTCAACCGAAACACTCGGTAAACGATCGCTTCTCGAGGAAGAGATTATTGCACACAACATGCAATCAAACATGGAATTCGTCGATACGCTTGCGTCGACAAACGCGTATCTACACGTGCCACGTGGTTGGTTGCAGAAAAACACGAAGATAGCTGGATATAGATATAATCTCTCGAGAGAAAACACGCAAAATTATTACTTTGACATTTATAACTGTTTTAAAAAATAAACTTACGTATTAACAGTAAGTAAATTTGCATTAAGGACAACCTTACCGATTTCAATAACCTTGATATATATTGTCAAAGTGACCGTCCTGAGTAACAGTCGAAAGGTTTTAGCCGTTGTTCGTTCTTCGTTAAGAAGTTATGGACAAAAAAAGTTTTATAACTGAATCATCGTTTTTCGACACCTTGTATATATTAAACAGAATATATGATATTTTAGACTAAGCAAAATGGACCTTCCAGCCTTTAGGGCTACAGATATTTTAGACATATTCCACCCATACACTTTCTAAGTAATACTGTCGATCATTGATACATTCCACCCCCAGGTTTTGTTATTTTTTTATGTAGGAGAGCACATCCAGGAACGGGCATAACATGTAATTTCCAAGCTTATCGTAATTTTTATAGGTAATTTTTATTTATTCTATACTAAACATTTATATATAAAGCATATTGCGTCTAAAATATCATATATTATGTGTAAACTATATGATGAGTCGCGAAACGATAGTTCATTAATGAAATTTTTTTTGCCCATAACTTTTTAACAAAAAACGAGCGACGGCTAAAACCTTTTGATTGTTACTTGAGGACATGTGGAGGGTTAATGTCTTCGCTATTCAAATTCTATGATATTTAAATGCGTAAAAAAGTAATCACATATTTATGTATCTATAAAAATTATTTTTTAATTGTTTGCCGCACGATTTTGATATTATATAAATTATATTTAAAATTCCGTGAAGAAAGTTGCGGCCCCGTTATCTCCAAAAAGAAAAAGGCTTTAAGGAGCATACAGTTGTTGATGTGTAAAAATGTTGTTTTTTGTATAAAATACAATCATATATAAATTATATTACATTTATACATTGTATATATCGTGAATAAAAAGAGAAATATAACACACACACCCACACACTCTCTCTCTCTCTCTCATATATATATATATTTATTTCTTTCTCTTTTTTATATATTTTTTTATAAAATATATTTACAACAAATCTTTAACACACTTTTTAAATTCTTACAAGCTTACGTAAGAAACAGCGAGAAATTGCCAAGTTTTTTCATATAATTACAATTTTATCTAATCTTGCAATGTCGATGTGACTAATCACTCACTTGTCGTTTCGATCGTTCGTACGAACGTGGACAGTTTTGATGAAGCACTACGATTGTCACGAACCTTCGTTCATAATGCAATGTAATCGAAAACTTGATCGATGACCTAGCAATTCCGACACATCGGTTTCCCCACAGAAATTTCGTTGGATGACCTTGCCCTTTGTAATGTCTTCTTGTGCTACGCGCAAGTCGATTTCTTGTCAATATTAATTCTCATTCCGAATTGCTATTCTATCGAGATTGAATTTAGACGTGTGTACATAATTCTTGAGATATACGATTGTGAAAAAATTATTTATTTATATTGTCGTCGTGACAAAATATCTATGCACATATATTTCATCAAAGAAGATTCTATCATATTTCTTGATTTACACACGAATATAATGTGTATTATACTAACGATATTTTTAAATTTATTCACGAAATATATTGAAATATTATATCGTGGCAAATTTGTTATGTAGAAAATAAAATGCCGTGATATATTTTTATATCATTGTAACAGGATCTTGAGCGAGTTACAGGCTGATGTGTGTTCTCTAGGATGATCGATTCGAAATTACTGGCAGCGGCTGTCGGCGACGGTGACTTTTCGAATCGTGACTACACATGTTCGCTAATCGTCCAGGTCTAATCATTTTTAGAGCGCAATGTATCCGCATAATGGTGCAAATAATTTTTCTTTCTCTCTGTCTCTTTCTCGTTCCTAGTCACGTTAATTTGTAATCTGTCTGCAATCAAGACCTTGACATTCGCATTTATTTCCATTACCCCTTTTTTTATCTCCTCTCTCTCGCACGAGTCTCACGATTTGTCGATTAAGCTTGTTAAATTATCGTGACACTTTTTCCATTTCAAATATGCGCCTCATCCGTGTCTTTAAAAAACATCTTCTTCAACATTTGTCGTCATGTATATGATCATCGACATTGACATTGTAAAACTTAGTAGTCCAGTCGAAACATTTACAAATTTACGTTTTTTATCCAAAAATTTCAACAGAAATAAAACAACTTTTGAGCGTTGTACTTTGAAGTATGTATATAATTGTTCCATAATATACGTGTCTTTTGTTTTAAGTATATGTAAACATTTCTTTTTTAAAATTATTAAAGTTTTTAAAACTTTAATAATAATAATTGATCATAACAGTAACTTCCTACAACTCCTACAATCTTACGATAGTGATTCTTTCGATCTTCTTATATTTTTGCAATATCTTATGGAAAATTTTGCATGCTTATTTAATCAATATCTGAGATAAATTCAGTGATTTATATTTCATCTGAGTATTTTTGTTTTGCACAGATCTTTAGAGAGCCGTTAAATCAATGACGTCATTGATTACATCATGGAAGAGGGCACATATGTATATGTCCGCGGATATAAACGTATATGACGTGTGTGTAAATATATACGTGCTCGTGTATATCTTACTCATGCTTGTTTACACAAAACATATATCGAAGCTATGAAATATCATTGAACGCTCGGCAAATCCATATAAAGCGGATAATGTTTTATTTTCTATAAGAGGCTCTTGGCATAAATTGTTGAAGTAAAATAGATAATAATAAATTTGTTCAAATTTGGGAGATAAAGAAAGTTTCCGTGAGAAAAACTTGATAAAGTTCAAGAACATATATACATAATTATACAATTATGTACATACTTATTATTATTATTATAAAATCCATCCATCTATCTATATTATTGTAATAATTCATCCTTGGCTCGCTTTATTTCTTGCAATTTTTTCTGACGCCAGAAATTCTTATTCTGAATTATATGTGATTAACAATAATAAATATATTGCATACGTAAGCATGCATGATGCTTATATATGCAATATATAATAATAATATAATGATTTGATTAACAATAGTCTTTAATTTTTTCATATAAACAGAAGTTATGAAATTTATAGTCGTGAAATAAAATATTAAGAAAACTAACAAAGAAGATAATATTAAAGTATAACAAACAGTTATAACAAATTAAACAGTTATGTAACAACTATAACAAATTGTCCCGATTTGTTTTATCAGTATGAGAAACACGCTGTTTACGTTTTCTATATTGTGCGCGCGCACACACCCACACAATATAGAAAAACCCCTTTACGCGCATGTTTTACTGGTCAATATTCAATAGTTATTCTTTTTTTTTGCAACCTTGATTTTTCTAGCTCTTATATGTGTTACATCTATCATGCATATATTTACGTTTTAGCGATTTTAAACAGATGTTGCGTAGATAATTGCATAATTAGCTGAGTGTTACGTGCGTCGAATATTCCGCATGTTGACCATCCTTGTCGCAGAGGGCCATGATACAAATCCGTAACAAAAAAAGAACATCTCTTAATCGCAACATCGTTGTATTATGCACAATGTATTTAGCGCGATTTGTAACGTCGTCCATCGTATTTCAAACGCGTGCTGGCGACAAAATAAGTGAGCAATCACACAAAAGAGAATGGCGTCTGCTTCTTTTCCCGTTGTTCTTCAAAGCAACAAAACAATCGACATTTGCATCACTTAGCCTCGTTTGTAAGCTGACCTTGTAGCAAGATGTTCTCTCTTCCTCATTTTCGAAATAAACAAGTAAACAAAGACATTCGGATTTTTTTTCATTTGAGCTAACTTATAGATATATTTCATCATCCCTTCCGTAACAGATGTGCTCGAATATTTTGCAAGGTCTTCTTTGATGATTATCTTGTCTTGTTGTCTCACTTAATATCATTCCAATCAACGAACGGGAGTGGCGTTCAAGGCTGTGCAACCTTGCCGTCCATATAACTGCTTTAATTGAAAAAATATCGCCAATCACTATTAAGAGACAATTTTGTCATAGTCGGAGAAAATTCGAATAGATGAATTGATCTTTTGCACATTATGAATTAGCTACGCAAGACCGCTCCTCTCAACTCTTGTCTGTATCTGTCACGATCTGTGCACGCAAAGTGTAATAGAGAAAATTATACACGTAATATTAAGGAGTTCTCAAATCGATATCAATAATAATTAGTTTAAAAATTAAAAATTAAATTTAAAAAACTCAGTAATTGTTATTATGTCAATGTTTTTTACTCATCTCAATGTTTTTTATTCAATTTTTTCTTAGATTTTATTAACTAAAAATGGCTTCAAATAATAAAGCCGAAACGTTCCAACAACAACAATTCATATCTATTAATTTCGCAACATTCTGCATTTTGTCTGTTACGATAGTGATGCGACTAATTATTTAATTATTTTCTCGCGACTGTGATATGTTAATTTAATTACTTTCTCGATGTTACGTTGTGGCAAGCAATATTTTTAAGACTAAGCGCCACAGTTTTCTGATAAAATTTTGTATGATTTTATTGTAGCGAGGGCGAAAGATATGTGAAGATAGCGTGGAAGGATGTCAAGGTGGGTGATCTGGTTCACCTTTCAAACAACGAACTGGTACCGGCCGATCTTTTGCTTCTACGAAGTAGCGATCCTCAGGGTTTAGCTTATCTCGATACGTGCAATCTCGATGGAGAATCGAATCTGAAGCAACGTCAGGTTGTTAGAGGATTTCTTGATTTGCAAGATACCTTTCAGCCTTCCAAGTTCCGATCAGTGATCGAAGTCGATCAGCCGAGTACTAGAATATATAGGTAAACATTTGATGGACCTAATTAAAATAAAAATTGTAAACGAATTAACAAAGAATTTAAAACTCATATAGTTTTAAAACTAACTACGAAATTTAACTGGTAGTAAGAGCTGATATGTTGGATGTTTGCGGAATAAATATATCTGAATACATGTATATTTATATTTTTAGGAGTGTAAATTTCTTACACATATGATTGTTTTGAATTGAAATGTTTCAATTCGCGTGAATTCATATAGGACGTTCGATTTGCATCACATATATGAGAATGTTTATTTTCCCTTCCCAATTAATTTAGAAATTATATTGCGAAAAAATATAATTTACATTCTTAAATACATAAATATATATTCAGATATATGTTTCTTCCGCAAACATCCAGCATATCGGCTCTTACTACCAGTTAAATTTCGTTGTTAGTTTTAAAAAAATTATAAAGGTTCCATAAAAAAAAAAAAAAAATAGAAGAAAGTGTCAATTGAAAAAAGTGCTAATTTTACATGTCTGTAGTAATTAAAAAGATTGATCAAATGTTTTATTTATCTCAGCACTTGTTGCTTGTTCAAATTGAATTACTTAAATTATAAGTGCGCACGATTTGAATATTCATAGTCGGATCTTATATTTAAGATCGTCTTAAGTTTATTTTCAGATAGTGTACGAGTAGTTTTATTGGCTGCAGAGCATCTGAAGATAAACTTAAGACAATCTTAAATATAAGATTCACTTATATGAATACCGGCCTGTGACGCATTTTAGGTTTCACGGTGCCGTGGTACATCCAAACGGTGCCAGAGTGCCCGTATCCACAGAGAATCTTTTACTAAGGGAATGTGTCTTAAAAAATACCGACTTTGTCGAAGGTATAGTTATATATGCCGGTCACGAGACCAAAGCGTTGCTGAACAACGGTGGGCCCAGATACAAGGTAAATAAAAAAAATTAATCTGCATGTTATTGTCAATATTTGAATACAAAATAAACTGAAAACAAAAATTAATTAATTAATTCTGAAGAAAAAACAATTCTCGAATTTTTAGACTCTTTCCATCAAAAAATAACTTTGTTTTAGCGCTCCCGTCTCGAGAAACACATGAACAGGGACGTAAAATGGTGTGTAGTGATACTGGTGATTTTGTGTGTGATTGGTGCATTCGGATGTCGTTTATGGCTGTCCGCGTACGCGGGCCTGTCGGTGGTGCCGTTTTTGCCGGTGATACAAGAACCAATCTACGAGAGTATATTGACCTTTCTGACCTTTGTCATAATATTCCAAGTGATGATACCGCTGAGCTTATACGTGACGATCGAGATGGCCAAGGTGGGTCAAGTATACCACATTGGTCACGACCCGGCCCTACACGACACGGAAACCGGCCGTAAAGCGGAGTGCCGTGCGCTGAATATCACGGAGGAACTAGGCCAAGTGAGTGCGGACAATTTATATTAAATGAATTTGCGCGAGTCTGATATTTTACGTATCACGATCAATATTATTTATAAAAAAATTCTACTTTTTCTTGGAAAAAATAGAAAATAATATAAAGAATTATCAAGATAGTTTGTTATTAATATGCGTTCACATTAAATTTACCAATCATCTACAATACAATTTTTAAATTAATATATAAAATTATGTGTGTGTGTGTGTGTGTATTTAATAAAATAATTTTTAACACTTAAATTTTTTCCAATATAAAAATTTTAAAAGAATATAAAAAATATTTAATAGAAAATGATTGATTTTCTTTACGAGAGAATATATATTGCTCGAAATATTTTTACGACAGGTACAGTATGTCTTTTCCGACAAAACTGGGACTCTCACTGAAAATAAGATGCTATTCAGGAGATGCGCGGTAGGAGGCCAGGATTATTCGCACATAGGCGACAATGAGAATCTGCTCCCATGTTCGCGGCTTAAGGAGGATTTGCTTATAGGTACATTTCGACATCGCTTACAAGAGTTTCTTATTGTTTTGGCTACATGTAACACGGTTGTCGTAAATTCTCAACCGCATCACGATATTATGAACTCTAGTGGAGTCATTGAAGAACCTCGGAAAAACGGAACTGGTCTTATAAGGTTGGTATCAGATAATGTGCATATTTTTTCTGAGAATCAAATTATAAAAAATTTCTGTGTAATCATTTTCTCTGTTGAATTTAAATTTTTTAATATCTGACAGAATCAGAGAGTTGGAAACAAATTCATTTCCAACTGCTAATTCCCCACCGGTATCGATGTCTCCGAGTAACAGAACTATCCGCGCCTTATCACCGGTATCACCTGTAATTAGCACAACTAATACATTCGATGATACACCAAAATTCCCGTTTAAAATATCAAGGTTGGTACAACACTTGACGCTATATAAAATACAGAAATATTTAACATATTAAAAAAATATTTTTTTTATAGACCGAGATTGCTAAACGTAACATCGATACCAAGTCTGGGCATCGGACTGTTGGGACGGAAGTTGTCGCCGGACGGGCAGAAGAGATGTAGTCCTGATGGGAAAAACGGTGATGAGCTGCTGCATAGTCCTGCGATCTACGAAGCGGAAAGTCCGGACGAGCTTGCGCTGGTGCACGCCGCGCGCGCTTACGACGTCAAGCTCGTGAAACGAACACCTCGCAGCGCAATCGTGTCTTTTCCGGACAAATCCACGCTCGCATTCGAAATACTTCATGTAAATGGATTTCACGGATGAGTCAGTTGCGCGTATTTTTATTTTGATATTTATTTTACTTATTCCATAATTGCTTCCAGGTGCTGCCATTCGACGCAAACAGAAAGTGCATGTCGGTGCTGCTCAGACATCCACATACCAGTGAAATCGTGCTGTATAGCAAGGGTGCTGACACGACAATGTTTGCAGCGCTGTCGCCTAGCGACGAGAACGCCGTTGCCTCGGCCAGTATCCGACACTACTTGCAATCGTATGCGCGTCAAGGTTTGCGTACTCTGGTAATGGCGAGGCGAACCTTGACGTTGCAAGAATACGAGACATGGCGACAGAAACACGAGGAGGCGGAAATGGCGACGGAAAACCGCGAGCGTCGCATACGCGATTCGTACGCAACGCTGGAATCACATTTAACGCTTTTGGGAGCGACCGGTATCGAGGACAAGCTGCAAGCCGGCGTGCCCGAGACAATGACCGCACTGGTTACTGCTGGAATCGTCGTGTGGGTTCTGACAGGTTTGTAGAAAGTTATGAGCAAGCGCGTATGATTGGCATTGTTGGCTTCCACACAAACCGGTTATGCGTACATATTATTTTTAATGCAATCTGTCAACGTAAAAAAGTACACTGAGGCGCTTTACATTGAGTCTCAAATGAATCTTCTCCGCACATATAATCAAAATGTTGTATCCACACTTTATTACATAAACAACATTTATATAAAGATTACAGAAAAAAATTATTAGAAGATAACAAAAGAAAAACTAATGAAAAATAACGTCATCCAAAAGCAGTTTGCGTTCTTGAACGTAGCGCTCGCACTTAACGTCAAAGCAATTATGTGTTTCATATCACACATATGATCATGTCTTCCGTTTCAGGAGACAAGCCGGAGACCGCCGTGAACGTGGCATACTCGGCGCGGCTCTTCTCACCGGCCATGCAGCTCTTACAACTGCAAGCAAGATCTAAATCCGTCGCCGAGACACTCATACACAGTTATCTGGAGTCAGCGCACAAAGAAATCAACAGATATCCGCAACAACCGAACATGATGGACATTGCGGATCTTACTAACGTGTATAATCGCGATTCTATTGAAAGGGACGCGCATAGGATCGGTAGTCCGCGACAACGCGCGCTTGTTGTAGATGGCAAAACATTGACGGTGATTCTGGACCCGCGATCGGGCTTGACAGGCCCGTTTCTTGAACTCACAAAAACATGTTCTAGCGTCTTAGCCTGTCGCGCCACGCCATTGCAAAAGGTGTCCGATAGAAAATATTAATGTAACTGTGTGTATAAAATAACTAAATATTGTTTAAAACTATATATGTGCGTTAATTAATTTGACACAGAATTTATCGAGTTTTAAATGAAAGCGTAATTCAATATTACTAATATTTAATATTAATTAAGGATAATGCTAGATAAAGTAATGTGATTAATTTACGTTGCAGGCGTACATAGTTCGTATTGTTAAGAAACAATTAGGAATGAGAACGTTGGCAATCGGCGACGGTGCGAACGACGTTAGCATGATACAGACCGCTGACGTAGGCGTCGGTATCTCGGGGCAAGAAGGCACACAGGCGATAATGGCGGCGGATTTCGCGATTTTTCGTTTTTCTATGCTTAGTCGACTTCTCCTTTTACATGGACATTGGTGTTACGACCGTCTTGCTAGGATGATTTTGTACTTCTTTTACAAAAATGCCACTTTCGTCTTCCTTATATTTTGGTTTCAAGTAAGTATAAAAAAAATTAATTAATTAATTAAATATGAGAAGAAGATTTGTAGATATTTAACATAGAGGTATTCATAATGATGCATTTTTTCTTTTCTTTTTGCAGCTGTTCTGTGGCTTTTCCGGTGCTGTAATGATAGATCAAATATACTTGATGCTATACAACTTACTGTTTACTTCGCTACCACCTCTTATCTTGGGTATTTACGATCGCGTTGCTTCGCCACGTGTGTTACTTTCTGCGCCGGAATTATATACGAGAGGACGCTTGGGATTTGTTTATCAAGCTCGCTCGTTCTGGTTGATGATCGCCGACGCTTTTTATCAAAGTATCGTCATCTTCTTTATTACCAAAGAGGTCGGCACATTAGTCACGAAGAATTAAAATAACTAGAGATTTTATGATCTCTCATTGCTCATTATGATACAAAAATTTATTTGTTACTTTTCTTTCAGGTTTATTGCGATACGATTATCGACATATGGGAATTTGGATCGACTATCATGACAGCGTGTATCGTCGTCATGCTGCTTCATGCTGCCATAGAAACTAGATCATGGGTAAGTGAGAAAGAAATAGTTAAAGTACGTAGAAAACTTATACTTTAGATGTTATCACTGTTCAAATTATTTCAGACTATACTTCACATTGGTGCCATTTTGGGTTCATTGGGCATATTTTTCGGATTTTGCCTTTTTTATAATGCTGTTTGCGTTAATTGTATGGGTTTGCCCGGATCTTATTGGGTAATGGAAAACGCCATCACACATCGTACGTACTGGTGCACTGTGCTACTTACATCTGTCCTTGCATTAATGCCTAGGTATGTTTACCTTGTGCTTGTCAAGATGGCAATAATCATGTAAACAATATTCGACTCGAATCTGTGTGGATGTAACACTGTCAACTTTTCTACTTCAACAATAGCAATATTGATAAATGTTGAATTCAATTGGCATTCTTTTTATGTCTTAATAGATTTGTATATAAAGCGATACGATCTACAGTTGCACCGAACGCTGTGCAAATAGTCTCGCAGCAGATCACCGCAAAAAGCGGCGGTCAAGTTCGTCGGCAACGTATCAGCAATCAGAGAAGCGAAGTCAATTTTATTGCTGGATGGTCACGCTCCTCGCAACATGCTACCATTAGGTATATTATCCAATTGTATTAAACACTGATTATGAGTGTTCCACACTGTTAATTTTTTTCAAATGTAAAAAAATGTATCATTATGTATTGCAGACCCGGTAGCTACGGAAGTAAAAACAATGCTCTAACGACTATCGTCGCATGACAACAGCCACAATCAGATTGAATTGTCAATCTTGTTATTTCAGAAAATTAACCAAGTCGTCGAAAAAAGAAAGAAATCTTTTTCACTGTCTGCTGATTATAAAAAAATCAAATTTTTGAGATTTTTCCTTGCACTGACAAATCTGATTAACTATCTTTGCTTAACGATTTTCCAATTTCCCAAGCTAGCTAGAGTGACGATGTGCAAAAGCTGGTTAATAATTATAGAATGAAATTAGGCTTGTAACTTCGTGCGTGACTAAAAAATGACTAAACTTGGTCGTTTAATGTCATTGCTTGCCTGTCGAGACAATCCTCGTTATCGATTTCATGATAACGCTAATATTTCATTGTCATTTTCTAGTTCGAGTTATCGCGATTGATTTCAACCCGTGTGGCCTTAAATCTCACATCGTTCGTTGCATTCAATGGCTGTGACCTCTAGGGACCTTTGTGACTTCTAGGGACCAAAATTATTCATAATTGAACCAAGCAGGATTCGAATGAAAGTCTACGCTGCGTTTACTTTGCGTGCAGTTTATTTTTATTAATAAAGAGTTTTAGGCTCTAGAAGTTTAAAACTAACAATACGTAAACGGTCAATAAGAATCTTACGTTGGATGTCCGTTGCGAACTAAATAAATATATATATCCGTTAAATATGTTAGATATTAGGGCGTAGTTGAACTGTTTGCAAGGTGTTGTGCACAATGATAAAATCGTTAAATTTTTAACAAACGTTTCGACTATTTATTTTTAGTCTTCTTCAGTGTTCTTAAATCTAACCATCAAATATATATATATTGTATATATGTACATATATATATATATATATATATATATATATATATATATTTATTTATTTATTTATTTATTTATTTTGCAATCCAGCGTAAGGCTCTCATTGACCGTTTACGTATTATTAGTTTTATTTTTATTGTTTCTGACTTTACTCAAAAATGTGTTTACAACCGCGAACTTTTTGAGCGGAAAACTAATGCTAGAAACACACGGATGTATCAAGCGCTTTGTTCACATACATGTGTGTGTGTGTGTGTGTGTCGAGAATCAATGTACAAAAATGTAAAAAGAGTGTAAATTATAAATATACACACACACATAGACACGGTGTTCCTAATGAGACGCGATTAACACGTCCACAATCGATTTATTTTCCAAGTCAGATTTTGGCTAAGTTACTGTTAGATAGTTACTATGATATTATGTCATAAAGTGAACGAGGACGGACGCTTAGAGAAACGTAGCTTCGTGAAATTGTTTATTTCCGGTCTCGCGACGGAACATCTAAGATACAAATTTATAATAATATAACGCCGTTATACATGTACTTTGTTATATCTATTGTATTATACTATTGATTGTACAATATCATATTGTAAGCAACTATTGTGAGATATAGAGCTTTTAATTTGAATAATGTATATTGAATGTTACATTGATAACACGTTGCACGTGCTATCTGATAATATTTTGATAATGATGAATTATTGTTGTGTGCATTAATTAATGTAAGAAGAGTATTATTGCGATATTAAAAACAAAACAAATCAACGCGTATTTACTTTTTGTTTCTATTAGTGTTCTTTTTGTTTATCCATGTTATTTCTTGAAAAAGCAACTCAATCAGCAAATGTACACATAACTGATACACGCATAATGTATCCATCATCAGATTTCAAATATGATTACATGCGCATATATCGCATATATTTGAAAAATACAAATTTTCTTTTAAAAATTATCACTGCGACAAAACTTACGAAGAAAATAATATTTATATATTTTAAAATAAAAGATTTGCGAAACTCGTTAATTCTATGATAGATAAAGAGATTACGCGAATATAATTATTAATTGATTATATTTGGTAAGATCTGCAAGATTTTTAATAAAGACAATCAATAGCGATATACGAAAGTGTATTGCGCGTATTTGATTGAATCGCGCGTATTGTTTGCGAAATCAGCTGAGCAGACAAAATATACGCGGTGAGCACCACTGACTTATGCGGAAACGCGCGTCGACGATGCGGTGGGGATAGAGTGGGTAAAAGGTGCGGAGAGCGGGAGGGGGGGAGGGTCAAAAACGCTGTGCTGCTCCGCTGCGGTTGTTGTCTCAGTACTCGTTGGCGCTAGATGTGTCATGTGCTGTGTTCGTGTGGCGACGCGTCCTCTCACGAATTGCATCCGTTTCGATTCCGAATCACGCGCGTCCACTTTTGTACTGACATTTTGCGCAAAGTCGAAAGTACGAATTGATTGACTAAATAAACAAGGCAAGTAACAATGCGAATTCGTGTTCTACCTGAAAATAGCATGTTACATTTCCTTCTTTGTTCCCATCAAATTCTTATTAGTGCAGACAAGAAACACCGTGATTTTTTTTCCAATCACTATTTCTTTTTTACTTAAACACTTGTTTCAATATAAATATGCGATATTTCAGTGCAAGTTGTGTAGATACATACATGATTACCGTAATGTGAAATTTAACAGCTGATTTCAATGAGTTATAAGGAATAACGAATTTTGCGATCGCGTTTATGCAATAGGTAAGTATGTATGTACAATAAATACAAATACCCCGAGCGAGACGCAAGGTCAAAAATTACCTGACAGCATTAGCGTCTATTGCGTGGCCAAATGAATGACACACGTATTCCAATTTATATATGCTAATATTTTGACTCGCGCTGTTGCAGAAGAATGTCACAAGTTGCGAGGAAAATTACTTGGCAAAAAATTAACTATAATATAAAACACTGAAATAATAGTAAGGATGTAAAACGTATACGCGATAAGATACCTAGTTTCGCGAAACCGGCATCGATTACCGCAATTACGTTGAAAGTTGATCTTATTGCGTTACATATGACATGCTATATAACAGTTTCTGCTTTTTCTCTACTTTATGCGCGTCAAATTTTTAAATTATTAAAATAACCGTAGTCAGTTTTTTTTTTCGCGGCAATTTTTTTCTCAAACTTTAGTCCAAATCTAATCAATGGAGCGCTATACACGTAATGTCTTTTGATACCGTCATACTAACTACGGTGACGTCATGAGATATATACAGAAACTCGCGACTCGCGATCGACTTCCGAGGATCGGCCGAGACTGACATCCGCTAGCACGTTGTGTCGGTCATACCTCCATGATAACGTGTTCTGCCCAAGGATAACGATGTAGACATGAGAACAAGTTCTGAGAGAGACAAATATATATTCCGGGGAATATGTGTCGGAGAGTGTATAGATAAATTAGTAAGAAAAATTAGAGAACATTAATTTCATAAACTATTAATTAGACAAGAAATGAATTCCACGACAGAAAAAGGATTGAATTGAAAAACAATTTGTTACATTTTCTTTCTTGTTAATCTTTTTACTACTAATAAATCTTCTCTCATATTTACAATACTTCTGTACTGAAGATTTTAATCGTAAGGTATCTAATTGCCATGAAAACAAAAGTAAATAAAAAAAAACTTTTTATTGTTTTACCGATTATATATTATTATACACATGTCTAATATTACTAAATAATTTTAACAAATATTATAGATTTTATATCATAAATCTTTTTTTATAAACATAAACAGAGAAAAATATTGTAAACCAAGTTTTTTTTCTAAAACTCAAATAAAAAAGCATGTATGTTTCTATAGATTCTTTTAACTGACTCAATTCTTACAGAGTGGAAATTACTCTTAGGAAAATTGAAGAAACGCGCAGATCTATGGTTGATTGATGCCAGTTACATGATGGAGCGCCTATCCTCTAATTGGGAAAATAAACGGTTCAACACTGTGGGTAAATCATCGTATACGTGACATGTCCTTGATATTGACAATCTTTGATAATACTCAACCGTCCACTTTAAGTTACTTCAAATACTCATCTACTCATTTTTGTGTCAGACTCTTCAGAAGTTTATCCTCAAGGAAGCCGCGAGAATCGTGAGATTAACAACGCAACAAGTTGCCCCACACGCGAAAAGTAGTTCCTAATATCATTTGCAAGAAAATAAACTTACTTTAATTACAGAATTTGAATAACTGTTTCCATTGCAAAGAAAATAACACAAAAGTTTGATAATTCAGAACTTTTAAATTATCTTTGAAACGATAAATTTTCATAAGTTAAATGGAAACTTAACATTTTCTCAGAGAATTTAATTTATTACGGGGAAAGATACCATATAAAAATTTATAAACATATTCAGCTCAGATAACGTGTGATCGTGATAAAAGCATTGATAAATACAGACTGGAGAGGGATAATGAATGTGTAAATGTGTATGCAATTATATAAATTAAAAGTAATGAAGAACGCGCAAGTGAAACTAATTATAAGAAATTTACTTCGTACTATCGCACATAGAACATGTTTAGAAGAACTATAGGAATTAAACAATAGAACCATTGACGGAACGAGTTTCGCGAAACGTAAATAGTGTATGTATTGTAAGTTAATGAATTTGTCCCGCTCTGTGGTGACACAGCTTACATAATCACACTAGAGGTGGACCGATCGTCTGTCTACAATGACCTTGACGGTTTCGTACCGGTGGTCCATTGGCTCGATCTCGTCGAGAAAACGTCGACGATGACGAAGTTGACGCTATCTGCGATTGCGATTTACCGCGCCCACTTATCGCTCTGACGGAACAAGTTCAGGAAATGTTACAATCTGTCTACCGACAAAAGTGCGAACTTATTGCAAAGAGTTGTGAGAGGAAGACAGACATTATCACGTGAGATACGCGACGAACGAGAAATGACGGTGACTTACACCGCTGAGGTAGCCACTTGCAGAGGTCTCGGTTGTTTCCTCAAGTTGTTGCTCAGGTGAGATATTTTTCAGCATTCGTTTTTTTTAAATTTGTTTTTACACACTTTTATTTATTTCTTTTTTTCTCTCATTTCTCTACAATAGAAGCAAAAGTTAGCTTATACGTCAAAAATATAATTTATGAACTTTATCTGAAACGCAATATCTTATTATTAAAATTTACTTAATAAATGGATTTATAGTAAATGCTACGCTATTTACGAGCGACTTTTTTAGAATAGTTTCACTATTAATTATAAATTTGAAGAAGACTTTCAATCTCGACGAATGACAAAGATGTTTGCATAAAAATATTTCTCTTCGTCATCCGCAGAGTTGACACAGTTCAAACATAACGAAAGCCGTTATCCATGAAGAGAAAACTAGGTGAAAGATATGCCATCTCCAGCAAAAATTATTGACTTTCGGCTCAATAACACATTGGTGACGTTATCGCGTTTTATCGCGATATACCAATGCTTGCTTGTCTATACAATGCAGTTTTTCTATATTTTCAAGAATTGTAGAAACTATCTTTATTTAGGATTTCTGTTTTGTTTGCCAAACGCGAGATCTCGACGGATCGTTCACTTTATCATCGTTTATCTTGCAGGCGTTTCACGCACGCTTGTTTCTGTTCTATAAAACGCGCGATTTGTATTTCAGATGGCGAGCGAGTATTTACAAGCTCGTCTGGATCGATCTAGCCCTCTACCTCTTTATTTATTACTTACTGTCCGGCATTTACCGATTACTGTTGGATGATGAGCAGAAGAAGACGTTTGAGTCTGTGGTGGCGTACTGCAACGAGTACAGTGATTTAATACCGTTATCGTTCGTCCTAGGATTTTATGTTAGTATCGTGATGACTAGATGGTGGAATCAGTATATGGCGATACCATGGCCTGATTCTATCGCGGTCTTCGTATCGGCTACTATACAAGGTAACGACGAACGCGGACGTCTAATGCGCCGAACAATTCTTAGGTATAATACGGAATATCAATAACTTTTTTAAGTTATTAAGTTATTGGTAAAAACTTTCTTTATAGACTTGTGAGTTTTCTGTATTAGACAGAAATAAATTCTTTCTCTACAGGTATGTGTGTCTCTGCCTAACCATAGTTCTGACGAACGTTGCACCGCGCGTAAAGAAGAGATTTCCCACTTTGGAGCATTTTGTAGAAACTGGCTTATTGCTGGAGAACGAACTATCGGTATTCCAAAGTTTAAATGCAAAATTTCCGAAGCCGAGTAAACACTGGCTGCCGATAGTTTGGGCCGCGAGCATTGTAACTCGCGCTCGGAGAGAAGGCCGAATACGCGACGATTTTGCAGTCAAGACTCTCATTGACGAACTCAATAAATTCCGCGGCAACTGCGGCAATATCTTACATTATGACACAATTAGTATTCCTTTAGTATATACTCAAGTAAATAGGTCATGCTATATGATGTTATTTGTTACAGAAAATCATAAAATTTAGTGTTCTTGATGTCTTATTTTTTCTGCAGGTAGTAACGTTAGCAGTGTACACATATTTTCTGACAAGTGTAATGGGTCGTCAATGGGTTCAAAAATCAGAGTCAATCATTGACATGTACTTCCCAGTGTTCACGACGTTGCAGTTCTTCTTCTACATGGGCTGGTTAAAAGTAGCCGAAACGCTAATCAATCCGTTTGGCGAGGATGATGATGATTTCGAAGTAAATTGGTTAATTGATCGTAACTTACAAGTAAGAATTGCTCTTTTTCCCTTGTTATTGTTACCAGAACAAAATTAACACAAAATGCTCGAAAAATACTTTTTATAATAAAAGTACTTTTTTGTGTTTATTATAAAAAGTTTTTATGATAAAAAAACGCATAGTTAAATATTTAGTTTGTTTTTTTTTTTTTTTTAAGGTAAGTTATTTAATTGTCGACGAAATGCATCACGAACATCCTGAACTTATACGCGATCAGTATTGGGATGAAATATTTCCTATGGAACTTCCATATACCGCAGCAGCGCAACCTTTTCGCGAAGAGCCACCCCAACCCTCAACAGCTGGCATACACTTGTCTGCCGCGCAACAAGAACTGCAACCGTCATCGGTTAAAATCGAAGATCTGGCGCCGGATGATCAGCAGAAATTCCGTACTGATCTCGCTGACGACGCAGCATCAGGAATACATTTTTTCGCAACTGGAAAATTTTCCAGGTAAACAAGCAAATATTGTTTTATTTTTTGTGTAGTTTTCATTAAAAAATGGTTTTCAAGAAACATTTATTGACAAATCATTCAATATTGTATTTTAATATGACATCAGAACTGGTACTGAGACCACCTTGATTAACCATGGATTAGTGAGGTAATTTCATTTATATATTTCGCGAAAAATTGGTAAAATGAAAGAAGCGAATATTTTAGAAAATTCACAAGAAAACTACATTTTTATCTCATTAATATAACTATATCTTTAATTAACAGACGATCGTTTATTCTCACGATTTTAAGTATTGCTAATTTTTTATTAGGAGCGCCAGCAGAGTTAGTAATCGAGAGCGCAATTTCAGTGGTGGTTCAACTCCTAGCAACTTGGGCGGCTCGCTTACGAGAGTGAATAGCGTTACCAGTGTACTTAAACGATTATTTAGCAAAGAAGATAGACCGGATGGTGGTAATTCGAGCGGTAGCAAAGTCTCTGGAAAAATTCCAAGTTCGAATTCAGCAGTTTCGCTGCAAATACGTCCAACCGGTACGTTCCTTATCTAATGTTTTTTTTTTTTTCATTTAAATAATATTAAGCAAACAAGTTAACAATTTGAAATTATCAAAGGTGCAAGTGGCTCTATGAGGATAGGTGTCATTGAGGAGGTAGATGAACAGATGACTCTTACGTCGTTAAGACAATCGAACGATACTAACAAGCCACATGTACAAAGTATATTCGCTCAAGGCCCACCACCACCGAGTGATCCTGTCGACGTTCCTGGTTCCGCGCTATCTCACAGACGAGACATACTCTCTAGGAGTGCACCCGCACCGGGAATAGGAGCAACTGACAGTAACGGAAACACGCGTGATAGACGGAGCGGTATAAGGTTTGTAATGTAACAATCCATCAGAAAAATCACAACTATAAATTTTTACAGTTCATTAGGATTAAATAAATGAACGAAAAAAGCCAATGTATATAAGAATACAAGCATGGTTGAATGGGTTTTTTCTTACTTTTTTTTATTATTATGAACAGATTGCAAACATTTCAATTGGAGATTCGGTTTTTATCAATGCTTTTTAAAATTAATTGAAATAATTTACAAGAGATTTTATATTTAAAAAAAAATGATTTTTTAATTATGAAAAGATATCTTGTTATTTTTTAAAATTGTGACGTTAAACTAAAGCGTGATATAAATAATCTTAAAACGAAGTTGTTATAAATGTCAAGCATATTGTTAATCCTAGAACACGCACGCAAAAGTTTTATAAACCCGAACAGGGGAATCATGGAAACCCCACAAAAGTTCAAACAGCTGTAACTTGCTCAAAACTAAACAAACTTGAACGTACTATATCTAGATTTTTTGTTAAAGTCTCTAGTTTAAGAATATTTGTGTTAAAAAGTGTTTTAAACAATTGAAAAATTATTATAAACAAATATAAGCACAAATTTTGGAAAAAATCAGAAACAAAAGTTTTTTTCATGATTTAAAAGCAAAAAATAAACCTATGACTTTGAACAACTTTAAACTACGGTTTCATCAGAAGATATTAGATTTTAAGAACAAAAATACGTCGTAACATGTTCTTTTAAATTTTATAGATCACAAATATCTACGCACTCGGTACAATCAAGTATTTTCGAACCGGCGAGTTATCCTGGCAGCGGAATAAATGATGATTTGCCCAGTACTCCAAGATCCACGTGCTCGGACGATTCCGCGAATGAATTTACGAAATTGAAAAATGAGAGGAAAGAACGAAGACGCAACCGTAGAATTGCTCGAAGTGTTAGCGGTCAAATAAGTATACTAAATGGTAATCAATCAAAAAGTCCTCCAGATTCAGAAACTCTTTTACTGACAGAGTTAGCAGATGTATCACGACAAAATATGAAAATACAACAACAGGACGAAAGTGATTAGATTAATAAAACTATAGTTTTTAAAGTATTTTTTGTTACATCAGTTTTTATTTAGAGGTTATTAGTGCAAATGAATCATGGACGGAAATATTTTTAAGTTGTTTTCTGCAAAATATAAAAGTCTTATTTATATACGTATGCATAAATATGAAGGACAGTAATAAGATCATTTGAAATACAAGATGCGACTACAAATATTAGACAGAAAATCAAATCAAATTAACAGTAAAATTTTTTGTGGTTCTTTAATGTACTTATCAAACACTAATTCTCAAAAAAGTCTATAAATGTTATCAATAAACACAAATTAGTGGGAAAAACTTATAGACAGTTAGAAACTTATAGAAATTTTTAATTGCCAATTAATAAGATTTTATATTCTTATAAAATAATTGAGAATATCAGCAAAAACATTTCTAAAAAGCTAATAAGATGTTTTTACATTGATAAAAATATGTATTTAATGAATATATATTTGTATGCTTATGTAATTTATATGCTTGATTACTAATGATAATAAAAGCAGAGAAATACACACACACACACACGTATATACAGGGTGTCCGGTAAGTGCCGTACAATCTCGTAGACAGGAGTAAAACTGAGTCGGAAAGTTTTATACCATTTTGCGAGATTTACAATAATTACCGAGATCTTAAGTAACAAAGATCCGCGAATAAACATCCATTGGGCTGTTACATGCGTGAAAAGATAATAAATCCTTTTATAAATGTTCTCAATCGATATACAGGATGTCCGACAATTAGTGTAAAATCTCTCGTAAGCAGGTAGAAAGAATAAAACTAAGTCGAAAAGTCCTGAACCATTGTTTTCTATTACATATAACAGTAATTATTGAATAAATCAAGCCAATCAGCACCGACTTTTAGCCGAACGCACGTCAATGAACCACGCGCCTGGTGTATGTGAGCGCTCCGCGCGCCTCACTGACGTGCACTCAGCTAAAAATCGGCGCTGATTGGCTTGATTTATTCAATAATTACTCCTTTATTATGGCTGCGTTCGGGGAGCACGCTATCAGCGCTATTGCGTCATTCTATCTTTGTTTTACATCTACTGAGCAATAAAGATAGAATGATGCAATAGCGCTGATAGCGCGCTCCCCGAACGCACCCTATATGTAATACAAAAAAATGGTTTAGGACTTTTCGACTCAGTTTTTATTCCTTCTACCTGCCTACGAGAGATTTTACACTGATTGTCGGACACCCTGTATATATATACATATATATGTATGTATGTATGTACGTATGTATATATATGTGTGTGTGTGTGCATATATATATATATATATAAACGACTTTACAAGTCATTTTTCACATTCCACAATGTACACAACTTATTACGGTGCTTGTAAATAAATCACTCTATTACAGTATTATTCAAATAAAATATTTTTAGTAAAATAAACTTGGGTTTTAACAAAAAATATGGAAAAAAAGGTTTGTTATTTTAGTATTTTAAATAAAATAGCTTAGGGTGACAGTATATAATTGGGTCTTTTATTCTACATATTAAACCTCTTCGGTACGGCGGCGGCGCACGTGCGCCGCGGAGCATCATCGATGATTTTTTGTCGTATACAGATACAAATTACATTCGGCGTCGTCGACGCTCGGCCGTAGAGATATAGTTTGCGGTCGTCAACTAGAGTCAACGACAGCACCAAAGAGGTTAAAAAGACATTGTTCAATATTCGTGAAATTTATTTTTATCGCATTTGATGCATGTTAATAATTCATACACACAAATGTATAGAGTTTTTACTAATATCAATATTATTTAGTTTTTACAAGATTAAAAATCTCAAAAAAGCATTTCACGTTGTCATATGCGATACACGCAGCACATACGCGCAACGTTGCCGGTTTGATAGAAAAGAAACGGAACAGTATGTCTGCACTCTGCACTCTTCAACAAACCGAGCGTGATGTCCCGCACATGAATGCGGATTTTGTTTGTATGCACGCTTCTACCCCACAGTTTTCGGTGCTTGGCGGATCTACTTATCGACAGTGAAGTGGATGGTATCACGGATTCAAATCAAATAAAAGTGGATCTAGCACGGACTCTAACCGAGATATATTTTTACCGTCTGCGCTTAAAAGTGAATCTCGCTCCGTAGTAAGAGATCCACTTTTAGTGGATCTCAGCGCTGAAACCAGCGACTCGAAACCATTACAAGAAACTACAGGCTCAGGCTTCTCTCTGTTACTATATAGCTATTCGGGTTTTATAAGTTCGTTCATCCCACGTAGAATGGCGTACGGACCAGTTTAAGAGGTCCACAGAGCCACAGGAGCACAACCAAGCCAAATCTTACAAGTTCGTTCGCTCATATGCCATCTATATTAGTGAATTGAGTCTGATTATAAAACAATCTTTCGACGATAGGTGGCGGTGTTGCTTTGTTCTACATATTCTACCACGGAGTGGGAATTATAAGGAGAGGGGTTTGTGGTTGTGTGTGCGAATCGAGCAGAGAAGAACAGTGTGCTCTATCAAAGGAAGGAGCAGCACGGCAGGCTTTAGCGGCCTGTATTCGTATGTGCCATTCACTGCCATAGGGGCCACTGCCAGACTGCCAGACACTTAACAGAGTGCGCGTTCGTTTACAAGATGGCAGACGACTGTTCGTCTGCGGTGGAAAACGCAACCGCTACGGCGGTCGCGGAATTGGACAGTAATTCTCGCGTGACGAGGGAGCGGCACAAATGTGCAGACGCGAGCGCGACAACCGCGGCTTCGGAACTGTTTCTACCGTCAAATCAGGACGTTTCGTTCGTCAAGTGCATCGGGCATCAGGACGCTTTTACCGCGTGTTCGTACAAAACGACAGACGATTATCACCATCGTCTGCATCGTGATTACTGTGTTCATCATTGTCATCGTCAGCATCATTCTCTTCTTCGTCACTCTTATCGCCGCAACCATAATCAGTCACCACTGCCTAATTATCATCATCATCATCACCATCATCATCACCACCACCACCATCATCACTTTAATCCTCATCACTTAATCAGTCGTCGCGACAACGATCGTATAAGTAACAACCGCAACAATGGTGATATCGCGATGACCGGTGATGATTCGCAGTCATGTGTCGACGCGACTGTGCTAGTAACTGTGAGCGACGACGAAGAGGTGAGCGGTAGCGGCGCGGTGGGCATCGGTGTCGTAGCGCCCTGCGGTGGCGTCGGCAGTGGCAGCGGCGGCAGCTGTAGTGGCAGTGTCGGTCTGTACCACCTTGGAATCGAGATAGTCCGAGGCGTCGTGGAGACGACGACGCAACGGAACGAGGACGACGGCGGCATCGATAGTGACGCCGACGGTGATAGTGGTGGCAGTAGTAGTAGTAATAGTAGTATTATTAGCAGTAGCAAAAGTGGTGCTGTCGCGGTAATCATGACCGGAGGTAATAATAATACTGCGGAGACAGCAGGCGTCGATGTTGATGTCGAGGACGTCGATGCGGCCGACGACTCTTCATCGTCACGACGCTCGACGCCGAGTGTGGATGATATTGTGCCGGAAGTGAACGACCGCGGGACCGATCACGATGACAGGAGACGAGGAGCGACGAGTGTCGTTGTTGCAATCGAATCGACGACAATAGAGGAGACCAGAGGTGATGCCGAGGATGTTGTTCCGACGGCGAAGACATTAAACAATAATGGCATCGTCGTGACTAGGTTCCAGAATAATCCGTTCAAGGGACAGGTTAGGATGGCCGAAGACACCCTTGTCGGGCCCTGCGGCAAGAAGCGGTGCACGGATCGATACGACAGCTCCGAAAGCTCTGACAGGTGAGTGAGCGAGCGAGCGAGCGAGCCCCGAGAGGAAAGAAGAGAGCCAAACGTGTGTGTGTGCGTGTGCGTGTGCGCGCGCGCGCGGTGAGAGAGAAGAAGAGAGAGAAAGAATGGCAAAGAATGAATGCGAGAGAAAGGGAGAACACACAATATAGGTCTAATAGATTCTCGCAAATTGGAAACATGAATCTGCGATCTTGAGTACCGTTCGTACAAATAAATCTGTTTTTATTGTATAAAACTTTTTGTGTGACGTTCATATCGCGGAGCATATAACCAGACATGTCACTGTACTAACAATATAACAACTTAAAATAATATTTTTTAATAAAGTCGAAATATTTTTTAACGCAATTGAGTATTACAATGTGTGTGTTTTGTAACAAATAATCGCGTGCTTTCCGCGAACTGTTTATTCTCATGCAAACGTAGCGTTTTTTCGCTTCAATTCGCTTTCGATTATAACTCGCGGATTCCGTTTCGACTTTCGTTGCCGCTCCGTGACAGCTTCCCTCTCGAAGAAGAACGTTGTAATTAGCACAAAGCAGAAGAGAGCTCAACCAGCAAGAGAGGAAAACTCAGGGGGTCGTTGTACCGTAGTTACGCGACGACGACGACGGTATCTGCTGCTGGTCGTTCGATCTCTCTCTCTCTCTCTCTCTCTCTCTCTCTCTCTCTCTCCCTCCCTCTCTCTCCTTCCCTCCCTCCCTCCCTCTCTTTCTCTCTCTCTCTTCCCCTCTCCCCCGTGTACGTGTGTTCCGTTTATAAGTTTGTAGATGTCTTGGTATCTTCCGTCTTTTTTACGTTTTTACCAATTCTTTTTTTCGCACCTTTGACGTTTTCTTCGAGCGACTGATTACTTTAATGCGTCGCGCATGTACTTCCATCAAACGCGCGTTTTCTATTTGTTGTTGCTGATTATCCCAATGATAATCAATTATGCGCTTTTGTAACATGGTAAATTTTGCTACGTTTAACTAAAATGAGAATCGAATGTTGCTATTATTATTCGTAACAATAATATTGAGATAACTCTGATTTCTACAATTTCTACAAAATTGTGATAACAACTGTTATCACAAAATAATAACATTTTGTTACCGAGAATGTTATTTAATAATGAATATCTCTTTTATAAAAGATTTAGATAATAAAAGCACAACATTTTTTATACTTATCTAAAAAATGAGCCTTTTTTAAAGTGACTGCTCTACTTATTTACGATGAAACATATATGTAAAAGAAACGCGTGAACTTTTATTTTGTACGCTTTTGACTCACGCTTTAACAACATAATTTTTAAACTATCTCAAAAAACAAGCAAACACATTTCATCGAAGTCGCATTAATTCCACAAAGAATTAACATTCGTGATCTCACGACTTTTTTATTTCTTCCCTCTCTTGATCGAGAATTCTGCACACTTGTATAGAAGAAAATTCTTCTAAGATGAGAGAAGTCGGTAACGATTAAACGAATAAGTCTTTCAAGAAACTTTTCAATTAACTACGTGTTGTTGTTAATCTATCTGTCGGCAGCGATGCCGATATCTTGCCTAGCACGAGGAAAAACATGTCGTAATAAAAGTTTAGCAAGCTAACGGTGCTTTCGCTTCGTAGTATACTAAACTTCCGAGGCGCTTTTGCGTCCGCTTCACGTATAAGAGTGACTCCCGTCAGATAATCGCATTTATTCGTTGCAATTACGGTTGTCATTAACGTTTTCCGACGATATATCGCGTATTTATCCTCGCAGAGATTTTCTTGATTTTATCTTGTGTGCATGAAGATCGTATATTTTTTGGCATCTGTTAAGTTGGCCTTCCTAAAATAAACAAAAAAAAACAAAGAAAGTTTGTTTTTTATCAATATAAATAATTAAATTTATGGTGTTATTTGATTTATGATTAGTTACTATATAGTTAGTAGAGTTATTGCATAATTACTCTGTACAGTTACTATCTTTATCGTATAGTTACTATTCGAGTTTCTAATTAGAATGAGTGACATTGTATATTAAAGAGATTGTATTGAGACATATGTATATATTTCGTTTTTTCTCCTATTGTCACATGTTTTCGGCGTATTCTTTTTCAAGTTTGCAAATTGATAACCTTGATAAAAGCTCATTTAGATAAAGTGCACATGTTAAGATTTACATTTAAAATAATAAACTGAGTCAAATTTTATATGTTGCATCTTTAAAGCTTGTATAATATTGGTTTACATTATTTTAATGTATCACAAAATCAATAATCTGATGATTTTTTAATATTATACTTCTCTTCATCAAAAACCTAACAAACATAAGTACTCTTGATTTTGCATGCAGCTATACTGAATAAATTGTAGATAAAGAAAAAAGGTTATTGCTCACGCTTTGACCCGAGATAAATAATTCGCATAATAAATTCGTCTCTGAATTCTATCCGCAGTTTGAAAAGGGTTATGGCAGAGTTTCACCGTATGAAACTTAGTTCGTTCACTTCTCGGTTTACTCGGCCATGCACAATGTTTTGTCGACGTCGGCGAAGCAACGCGTTCTTTCGTTGAGGCGCGCGCGTCTCGCGGTGAGTATTATTTTTAGAAGAATCCACGTTCGGTCGCGAGGCTAGTCGGTCGGCTCTTCCCTCTGCCGGGTTTATGCGCCGTTGATTACGCACCGCACCCGACCGACTTAACGTATACGATCGTCATTCGTGACAAGATATACTGACTGTACTTTCTTCTCAAATGAACTGTTATATATATTTTGCAATCATATAAGTATTTGCTACTTTTACAAATACTTGTTTTTAGATGTACAAATATTTCTCAATCTGTTTTCAGTTTTTAATTCATTTCTAATTTTTGTTAATTGTTATTGAGATTATTTATAAACATAAAAAAATAAAATAAGAGGTAATATTTTTTGATTAATATCTTTGATTATTTACAAAAATGGAATAAGATAAAATTTATTTCTTGCAGATAAATTATGTACTTTTTCAAAACTTGGACTAGATGTGTGCTTGCAACTCAAAATATTTAATTGTGCGATTATTTCTTTAATAACGGGTCGCAAAATTAGCAATAATAAAAAATGACACAAAAATAATGATACTAATTTTGTGTGTAATGCCGAACGAGGTCAAATCAATTTTACTTGTTTAATTTTTGATTTTTAATCTTTATCACACAGCTATTTTCAGCTTTTTGTAGCTCGTGAATGTATTATACCTTGCATTAATTCTTCTATGCTCGCGCCATTTCATATAATATAATCTATTGTCTTGTAAATCTGACATAGCTTTATAGATATCGCTAATAATAAACATCATATACTTACTGTTGCAAACATAGAAATTGAAACTGAGTAGCTACGTTGCGCAAATATAAAGAATTTTTCAATAATAAAGATTCTTGATCTAATTCCATCTTTCGTCTTTTGATGACAACAGATCAAGGAGTACTTGAGAACGTCCTCTTTTTTTTTTTTTTTTTTTTATCAAGATAGCATTCAAATTTCAATGGTAAACATTCCCGTTTCATTTTGATTTTCTTAACTCATCACTCTGTACTCTATGTAGTTTTTCATATCATTTGCAGCTAAAATTATTAAAACAACTTTTTAAAATATTGAAACTACATTCTAAATTAACTAAAATCATAACTTAAACATACTGTCAATAAAATGTCATTTCGACGTGGACCATCCCATATGTGTGTGTGTGTGTGTGTGTGTGTATATATATATATATATATATATATATTTGTATTTGTTTGTGTATGTGTATGTGCGCGCTCGATTTGACGCGTATGATTTGACAAGAAAATTGAAATATATATATAATAGTTGTGAGCTTTCTAATGATGTCGTCTGTCTATCGTTTCGCGCTGGATGTCGTAAGCGATAAATATTTGCTTACAAGAAACTTTAACGCTTGCCGCCTTCGTGTTATGCCTTTTTGTTTTCTTCCTTCAAACTTCGTGATTTTATGCACCGTTCGAGACTTGCCTATTTTTTATTCACCCACGCGAACCATAAAAGCGCAACAAGAATCTGACATGTAAATACCAGTGTTTGTTACACAAGTTACGTATATTATAGAATTGAAAAGCAAAAATAGCATCGCACCATGCTCTGTGTGATAAATATTAGGAAAATAAAGTCGTCAGGTATGGCGATATTTTTTATATTATTTTATATTTTGTTTTTGCATTGTTAGCAATAAAAACACAAAGTTTTTATTGAGAAATCTTTAATCAAACTTGATATCTTTTTATCAAACGAGCAATGTTGTGTGCAAATTTGTATATTTTTTTCTTTATTTTACTATATATTTTAGAAGAAATTTTATTATTATATATTTTACACTTTAGTGTTATTAATTAGAAGAGCAACATTTTATTATACCGACCACTAATTATGTATTTCGTTCTGTTTGATGGACACCGAAGGAACGGCGTCTTTTTAGCTGTATCTCTATCACGCGGTGCCGATGACCGCGTACGGACCGCAAAAGAGCAGAGAATGCGATGCGTAAGCGGGACTGAATCTTAGCAACAACCTTTACCTTCACTTCGGTTCTGGTTGTTCCGCTCGTTCCATTCACGAATTTCACTTTCACGGCCACGGTCGCACAACATCGTTTGCTCCGAGTCTCGGCCACAAAGAGTCGATATGTTAAACATACGAACATTGATATTCGCCATGCCCGTTCGAACGCTAAAAATATTTTACGCAAAATGCGACAGATAACGGCGAGCCTTGATCTTAGCCCCATGCGTCGCCGTAGCTGATCGGATCGACGTCTGAAATTTTATTGATCCTTGAACGTTCATTTACATAATAAATAAATTCTATAGTCCAAATTTTTGAAATTTTAAATATTTATATATCGGTAATGTAAAAAACTATTTTGAAATATCCTGCATATATTATTTTTACATTACATTATACGATATAAAAATATATTATTGTCTGTTTTATAGTCATATTATCGTTTTTTTACAATA